AAGCTGCAAAGTTAGGATCACTTGTAAGCCTTAAACCAGATGTCTTCTAAGAATGAAAACGGGTCACTGATTTGATGTCTATGAAATTTTGTCGTGATGTTTAACTTTCTAATTCTAACTGCAGCAGAAAGTTGAAATACGGCGATACCACCGGAAATGAACAAATGGTTTGAATGTCAACCGACACAGTGATTAAACAGCTAACATAGAAGATAGAAATATATTAAAATATATTAAAGCGAAATATAAAATTCTATTTCACAGCAAATATGATGGACTTACCCGCAATAAAAGCAATTCCTTGAATGATAATTAAACGGTTTTTATGAAGAAAAACTAAGGTAAAGAGGGAAGTCGAACAAAGAGAGTAGGATAATGCCACTAACAAATTGTTTTGTACTGAATGGAAGGACAGTGCTAATGACCAAGCATCTTTTCTTTAGCATGAATCTAAATTCCCCCCGTTGCTTTACATTTCGTCTCTATGAACCATTAATCGAGAGCACCATAGAGTACGCCAACATTACTACAATTTTACTATTATAACTCTTGAAAATATATTAAAGCGAAATATAAAATTCTATTTCACAGCAAATATGATGGACTTACCCGTAATAAAAGCAATTCCTTGGATGATAATTAAACGGTTTTTATGAAGAAAAACTAAGGTAAAGAGGGAAGTCGAACAAAGTGTAACCATCACATTACCAACTTTTAGTGTCCACAACAATTCCGGTACTACTGAAAAGACGATATCAGGCAAAGCCTCCCTGAAATTTAATAATTTAACTAATATGGAAGATGAAATACTTGAAAATGAATAAATAAGCAAAATGCTTCAGCAAATCATTATGTCTATTCAGTTTTAAATTTGCATTCCATTGTTTGGCAATAATTTTACTCTCACTGAAAATGTTACATAAAAACGATATTAAGAGTAGAAGAGATGGTGCAATCAAATATCCAGCATTAAAAGTTTAATTTTGATGTGCATTAAATTTGAGTATATCGATGACACAACATACCTTCCAACGAAATCATGGATATAAGCCAAAGCTATCAAATTATTGAATGCAGCCAGCACCAAGAATGTTAACACGAACAGCAATTTCCGTAACTCAACTCTTCCAGCTGTTACATTCATAATCAGATGACGCGTGAATTTACCGCTCTCACGGTTTTCGTCCTCTCTTTTTTCTTTTTCCTCTTCTTCTTCGCAAATTACACTACTTTTTCTTCCCTCTTTATCAACTGTAAATGAAAAAAAAAAGTGAAATCGAAATACAGCAAAAAATGCTTGAAAATTGCATCTGAGCAAAGATCCCTCGGAAAGGTATCTCTTCAATCATTAATGTAGAGCATAAAATACTCAGGTCAAAGGTGGACTGACCCATTAGATCCCGAACAATAATAAGCGATAACCTTCACTTTTTCTTAAATGATGAATTAATCCGAACTTTTAATCACAAATTATGTGTAATTTAGATCTAAACTTACTGCTTTCTCATGACAAACTTTGTTTCCCCATTTTTTTTTTAACCACTTCTTCCATGATATCCTAGCTCGTCAAGAATCTAGAAGGTATATCTCGGAAGCCATTCCAGAAGAGAGAAGGAAGCTAAACTAACTCATGTTTAGCGCAAACAATAACAGATACACTTCATTGATTAATTTTCCTTCTATGTGAATATTTTTAAGCTGTTAAATAAAAACTGAGATATGAATTTTGAAAGTTCCAGCTGTTCCTCAATACAAAGATCAAACCTGACCTCCATACCTTCACTGTTAAAGAAAGGAAGAAAAAAGTCTGAATGAGAGAACAAAAATATTAACCAAGAACCATCCCTCAACACCGTATCAAATGTAAATATCGAGACGCAGCGTTAATTCAGTATTTGAGCAGCTTCCCTCGAACAATTAGCCTTAATTTTGATTAGTTCCACGTTGTTAGAAAAAGTGGAAGTTGTTTATAGAAAGTTTGATAGGCCATAATAGTGGCTTAGAGTGAGTGAATGGCGGAAATCACCTCATTAATATTTATGACATTTTAAGGCTTTCAGTCAAACAGTTAAACCTTAAAATCGTGACTCAAAATTTAAGGAAAATGCAGAAGAAAAGGTAGAAAAATAAAAAAAGGTATTCTTACATTTCTTTACCTATCCTTTCGTCCTTTTCTCCTCGTGGTTCTTTTACTTATTTCTGTTGAAGAATAAGTCATTGCCTCTACAAAAAATAAAAAACAAATCATTCATTATATTATAAACTGTCACCTAAATACTTTGACTTTCTAGAATTTCAGTCAAAGTGCACAAATGCTTAGTTTTGTGATTGTTGCAATCACCGTCATAAAATAAACAAGTTGCTGCTCTTCTTGAGTGACTTTTCAAACAAATAAAATAAGTTTATACGAGCAATTCGGCCATTTGACCTCTGACCTTTTAAATAATGTTAAGAAATTAGACTGGCATGCCTGGCTAAATTCATCATGACTATAACACTCGAAAGTAACTCTACTAAAAGGAGAGTGGTTCTCGTTGCCATAGCAAATGTATTTCAAACACCCAAGAATCTGGCTGCAAACATTTTCAGTCAAGATAACATTTAATTTCAGTTAGGAACAAATACAATCACAGAATAACAAATAAAGCGCAAGTTTTTCTCTGTCCAATCTCTCAGATTTTATCTCTGGAAAAGCATGTGAGAAGAGGATGAATTATTAATGCCGACAAGAGAATCTGTCTGTTCTATTCCACTCCATTTGAAAAGATCAACGTAATTGAGGTATGGAATTGTAGTATACATAACCTACTACACATTACCAATACCATTATTATCATCAATCGTCATCACTCTGGGTAGAAGTTCCTTTTTTTATAATGACACTGTCAACAGGAACGACAACAGAACAGGGACAATTCCACTTCCTCCATAGTATTTTTTGATCAACATTGTCACATACACATACACACATTTAAAATTCTGTAAATATTTCTAAAGAGATAAACAAATCAGATGCGTCTATCTCATTATTTATCACCACACTCTCGATATCACTTTCACCTACAGTTCTGTAACACCTCATTCTTCCTACATCGATGAATGACTAAAGCAGTAATCAAAAGTCACATTTTATAAAATAATTTTGAATGAAAATTTGTTTGCTTATTTATTTATCACGGATATTTCTTCGGTGCCAATTTCGTGAATAAGCCATGGTAATTCACAATTTGTTTCTTCAATTGAAGATTTCGAAATAGCAAAAAATGAAAATTATTTAAAACCCGTCAATGTCTCTTGTGTTCAAATTAGTATTCAAATTATGATTTGCATATAATTTAAATCAGTCCATTGTTCGGATTGAACGATTATTAGGTCATCTCAACAAAAATAACCGATGTAAAAACTGAAATGAAATTTCAAAATTCATTCTCCCATCAACTGAACACGATTCTGAACATCCACGTTCTGATGCTTGGTAGATGTTACCCATTCCTGTTTGTTACTTTAAAAACTCAATTTGGAATGCATTTCCAAAGAAAGAGCATTGGGAAGAATTCATTTCTGAGATCCAACAATGAATTCATTTGAAAATGCATGAGACCAGAAGGAAATAACATTGAAATTATTTTTATTAGAATAACATTACGGAATGCAAATCTGTTATATTTTATCTAAAAATAAAATTAATTGGAATGTAATTAAAGAGACATTCCAAAGAAAAAACGTAGTTTACGACTGATGGTACAAACATCTATTATAGCATAATGATTTCTCATAACGGATAATCATTTTAACTGTCCGACTTCTCTTTATTCTTATAATATTTGATTTGTCAATATACTGTTTCCAGTTTTTTGAAATATGACAACTACTTTGCTTATCATGTACTACTATGAGATTAATGGTTAGCAAATATCGCACACTGTTTAGTGATGCCAACATTGTGAAGGAAATTGAATTTGTTAAACTGAGCAAATGTCACGAATTTCAATATCGCGAAATTCCAAATAAATAATAAAATAAATTTCTTATTCAAATTGTAAATGAATGTTAACAACATTACAAATCAGTTAATCATTTTACATTCCTTACATTTATTTCCTATTAATTTCCCATGTTTTTTCTGTTTTTATCTAAGCTCATCGTTTTCCTGTCATACAGCAAATGTCTTTGCTAGCAATTGCTTGCAATATCTATCTAAATGTACATTTTTGTCCAAATTCACATCCTAATCTTCTCATTAGATCTTGTTACGATGTTTAATGTAAACCACTCCCACCTTTTAAGATATATAACCCTCAATTTTTAATAGGAGGAATTGACTGTTATTAGCTTGATAATTCCTCTCGTACTATTCCTCGTACTTGTATCTACAATACTTCCTCGATATTCACTCTTAATCATATATTGGAAATCGTTCCATGTTACTTGACATACGGATTATAATAAAACTTTCAACTGGCCGTACATTCACAATACAATCCACTACGCGATAGAAGTGTACGTAAGTCAAGCTTTAAGAATATTAACCCCCTTTTTTCAATTAACACAAAATAGAGTTATATCGCGATAAAAAAAAATTTTTCACGATAGCAAATGACTAATCAATGAATAGGCACCCCATATCCTAATAAGTGGCATAGAACTACAATAGCACCGAAGAGATCTTTTTTACTAAATGATTCATTAAAATCTGAAAAATAAACTATTTACAAACTATCCCATGAAGTAAATTTACAAAAATTAGAAATATTTTAAATTTATGCCACCCTATATATATAACTATGCAACAGGTAGACTGATGTGGTGTGAAAATTAATGTTACAGTTCAGTTTCCATCTGAAAGTCCAAAATCAATATTTTATATTTCCATTTATACGTGATAGCAATATCGATTTCATTTGCAAAAGGTTCTCGTAATTCAACGGTGACATATTAAATAAGGTTTAGTACCTCAAGCCAATCGCTCACTAACCATCAATGAAGTAATTCCAGGTTTAACCTCATTTTCCACTTCTTTCGTGCAAGTCTACTTCAATTTTTCCATCCTTTTGTCGCTACAGAGATCTAGTCCCTACCAAAGAATATTGAACAACAGAAGGTTGAAAATTGTCCAACCCAACTCAGATCATTTGATTCCCAACCAGACGTAATCCACAACTAATTCAAGGATGATTTTTAAGAAGTCTGTAAGAGTCAGTTTTTGTGACTCTGACATTGACCTTTAAAAAACATTTAGCATCTACTATCGATGCTACCAATACAGTCAAATTCTAGATAAACTGTATGATAAAATTACGGAAATGGATTTGAGAAAGGGAATGGAACAAGCAGCAGCTGTGAACACTCACATTTTTGAATGAATTTGGATGAAAGAAGGAAACCAATATCCATAGCATGATATGTCTGTGTCAACTGTGTATACACATATATATATATATATGTATGTATGTATCTATCTATCTATATATGTCACCACACCAGCGTGCTTCCTGATAATAACACACTGGCTAATACACAACAGAAAGATGTAGGAGATAAAAGAACAGATATAACAAATAGCGCCAGGCGTAAACTGCTACTTTTTTACAACATGGTGACCGGATACGAATCATTTAGATATAGTGACAAATGTGACAGTGAATGGATGAACTGAATCGATACTGACCTCATGAAGAGAAGGAAAGATTCATTCATCATCAAAGAGAAGGAAAGATTAAGTCATTATCGAATAACAAGTTCTGCAGTGCTTGGTCAGTGGCCATTAAGCTACCATTAACAGAGCACCAGATGAGGAAGAATAAGATTCGAGAGCAGCTAACTATCAACAATATTGCAGCATTTATCTGCTGATGAAATAGAGTTACCATTGGGTAAATAAGAATGAGTAAAAGTAGTTATGAGCTTACCGCCAAATAATACATATTTCTATCAGCAACGTCTTATCAGTTTCTCGAAATCAAAGAATGTATGATCGATCGTACCTTAAAATAAATGAATCAAATTAAATAGATTAAATTTGATTTAAAAGTCATGCATTTAACAGCACAAGAAGTTGGACTTCTTTCATTCGATTAACGGGAACTCATTCAAATTATGCATGAAACCTATCGATTAACATTCAACACATATGGTCACATTTGTAATTTGTGTCGTCTCACCTTTCCTTGACTTTAATTATTTTGCACCTGTCTCATTCAGGTCTTAATGTTCAATTAGATGAATATTTGCACAAATATTGCAGTTTTCATAATTTACAAACATTTTTTCATGGAATCAAAAGAAGAAAATATAAACCATGACAGCCGATAACGCGAAGATTATGATGTAAATAAAAGAAGGGATATTGAAGTCCGTAACGCAATCGAAGGATAGCCTAAGATATCGGTTATCAACAACAAATGGAATATAAGTTTACCATCTAATATGAATCGGAAAATATTTCTTTCCCTAACTTATTGCAAATCGACGAAGACTTAATATACTTCGTCATATTGTCTAATTATATTAATAAGATCTGTAATATCTACTTGCCATTTACATCGGAAAAATAGGTATCTAGTAGATATCATGATGGTGTAAAATGTTTCTCAGTTTTGATCTAAGAAAGGAACAAGGAATCAATAAATCGAAGCGAACATTCTCGATATTAATGATTGCTTGATCCTATCTGATAGCAAAAGTAGGTTAACAAACTTGAAAAAGATATGTTGGTAAATGCGAAGGAGGAAAGTTTCACAAAGTTGTGAATGTCATAGTAAAATAATGGAACGGATGGTATATGATGCCTTGTGATACGAAATAATTCTGATAGCGGAAAAACCATAACAACGAACAATGAGCTGTTAATGACGCACGCAACATTCAAAACGCAACGTCATTAGCGTTGAGAAGTTAAGTAGGCCAGAAAGCTGAAAGATTGACATGAAACAACGGAATCTCCAGGGACGAAAACAGAAAGCTGATGGAAACATGTGAAGAGAGAATGGATATTATAGGAGATAGAACAAAGATTGGTTTGATAATGAGACAATTGAGTAAACATATAGCAAGGAAATATTGCGAAAATGAGGGAACGTTGAAAAAATATACTGAAATTTATTACTAAAATTTATATTTATCATTTTCTTCTACTGTAAAGTTTAATCGCAAAATTAATTTAGTGTTTAAGTTCCAGCAATCCATCCTAAATTAACCGCTGAAGAACTTTATTTTTCCACATCCTCATCTACCTATCTTTCCGCTTCTTTTTTTCTAGTGAGAATCATAGAGGTAGCAATATTACAAACAGTGTTTCTCAGCTAAATAATTAGTGTGCAAAAAAGTGACACATGCTAGTGTTGGCTAAGATTTTGTTTTAAAACTAATTAACAAACCTGTTTAAATTGAGCGCCACATTGCCTATTACTGTAAAGTTGTTTAAAGACATGGAGGACATTTTTTCTTTTCTCCTTTGAAGGCCTACTCCTTGAGTTCACTAGCCAACTTTTACTTCATCATATACTTAGGAATGTGCGGTGGTACTTTAGGGAAAAGTGAAGCAGAATGCGTCTTTAGAGCATTTTTTGCGTTGTTTGAATCCTCTTTTTCACCAATTTTTTTTAAACATAAGTTTATTTATCGAAATGTTTATGCAATTATCGTATACACTGCTTTTTCTTCCTGTCAATTCTTGTATTTTATTGCTAATCATACAAATAAAGAGAAGTTTAAAACAGGTCAAGAAATTTAATGCATGCACAGAAAAGAGAAGCAAACTAATTAACTGTTTGGCGTCCGATAGTTGCAGTGCTGGAAATTTACCTATGTCATTGAATATCATCAAAACTATTTCTTCTGAATGCACTCCGTCTCTTTCGAACAACCAAATACCTTCGTTTCTTTCATAAACCGACTAACCTGCTTCGGTTATACTTCATTACTCTTCCTACAGATATCGGTTGCATCGGAAAAGAAGGTGAACATGAAAAACATATGTTAAGATTATACCTAGAACTAATTATCATATTCAATAATGGAATTGAGAGACCCTGTCTCATACCAAAGAATGTATTTAGTTAAAGAGATCATACTTAGATATAAATAAATCAACAAACATTTTAGCTGTAATTCAAAAAGATGACTCACAGGAAACCAACAATCAAATTTAGTAAAATCGGTAGCAAAGATTTCCGTACTTTATTAAACAATCTGTTTTAAGCGATTGATATTCATGCACATTTCTGATGCATGTCATCAAGTTGCAATACATGTTTTTCGTTCCATACCTGAAAATGCAAAGTACGTAAACATAGGAGGGAAGAAAACTTTTTCTTCTCACTGACATTCGAAAATTATCTTAGAATGAAATGACTGTTGATAAGTTTTACAATCGAAATGCATAAACCAAATGTCATTCAGTTCCGCTGAGCACAAAATTTTATTGTGGTATGGGAATGAATGGAGATTATCTGGATATTATTTATTCTTCAGAATGAACATAAGTCAACTACACCTCAATCAAAATTATATTTTGCATCTTCTTTCTCTTTACTTTTCGTTTCCCTCTCCTTAGTCACTTCATGACATCACAATCAGAAGTAACAGCTTTAGTTTGAGTAATTAAATAATTTATCGCCAGGTGCATAAATCTGGTAAAATTTTTTCGTTCTACTTATAATATATAAATTAAAATCATTCTGAAATAAAACCATCTCTAAAAAGCTTCAATTAATAAATAAAAAAAAAAAACGGAATAAATACAAGAGGTAAGAAATTAAGATAGAAAGAATATCCTTGGTCCAACGTCTAATTAGAAAACGTATCCCGGAAGAATAGCTTTGATTTTTGTATCAAGAAGAGTTACTTTTCTGCGATTTCTCAAACCCTTGCAAAAACTAATTCTCATCCACTGTATAGATGCAATCGTTTCTTTACAAAAGTTTATGAGGTGAGTTTCCTTCTGTGATTATTAATAAATTTCGAGTTTTATCGAGTCTTATCCAAAAAGATTAGAAATCTGAGAATTTTTTTTTTCCAATCAATCTGGATTTTAAAACAATCCGCGAATACAACCAAAATTTAAATATTGGATGGATACAACCAAAATTTAAATATTGTCTTTTGGTGTTAAGTATGGTCCAAATTTGAGACCTTTTTAAAGAAAAGCCCAATTTTATTGGCTTCATTTGGTTAGATAGAAGGAAGGAAAAATCGAGATTGAAATTTCGGAAATCCAAAGAAAAAATAAAAGAAATGCAAAATAACCTGTTTAGGGTTATGGCTTATCATTGAGCATTACGAAATATCAACAAGAATTGGAGGAAAGTTGAGGGGATGTTCCATAATTCAATGCCACTCCCAACGGAAGTAGGGGAATTTGTGTTGCGAATGAAAGAATGTTCTCTTCCTCCTCTTGGAAGATGACAGAAAGATTTCTAAGGAAAGGAAAATATGAGCGGAACTCATAAATCAAACCTGATAATGCTGCATTCCAGGAGTAGCAGTAGCTAATACAAAGATATAAGCTGGAGCAAACAGGAAAGAAATGCGAACTGAACCTGTTTAAGATAGGACCGATGGGAATTCTCAGGAACTTAGAAAGGACAGAAAGCAGTGCAGATATGGAAAAATGAAGGATTGAAAAAGTGGAGAGATAAAACACGACAAAGTAACCGATAATGTAATTTCTGTAGAGTTGACAAACTTTGAAGAGCGTAGCAACCGTATGGAAAGAGATATTTATTTAACAATATTGAGAAGTGCAATAGTGTAATGCTTCAAAAGACAAATTTATTGCATCAAGAAATTGCAAGCGATCAAGATGTAGACGGTTATTTGCGCATGCTTCGTCAATTTCTTTTCCAAAATGCTTATCCGATAGAAGGGAAAATAATCGAAATTCAAAAGTTGGAAGTTTTCTATTTTTGACGTTAAATAAATAGATGGAGTTTTATAAGTGTAATAGTTTATAATATAAAGGCAACACAGTGATCAATATGATCAACAAATCCGTGCAGTGGCATCGAGGGTGAATTGAAAACTAGGGAATTCGACGAAGTATAGACGGAGGATCTGGGAGAAACAAAGATATGAAGATTACTCAAAAAATCTGAATAAACGCATCATCAATGTAGAAACGGGGATCGTCATCCACCGCTGTGGACCGGTACTTCTTCCATCGCTGCATTTTCAACTACCACTGTCCCTACCACTGCAATCGCTTATTTATCGTCTGAAGCAGACGCATACATTACATTTTCAAAATATCTAGCCTATTTCCAGTACACTTTATTGACGTAGTGGTTGATAATTGCTCTTCCTGCTCAAAGATCAGTATGCCGTATCAGTTACTGGCCCAGTTATTGGTGAAAAAGATGAAAAAGATCGTAGATTTATCTTCCATGGAAAAAGTCACACGAAAAAACGGATCCCACTTTTTTTCTTTCATGCATCCAGCATTTATTATTTTACCTCCGTAAATCTGTCCATTACTACACCACTCCTTTACTTTCATATCGAAATTGATTTGATCACGGAAACTATTTCTTCAGTTCTCAAACTTTTGTTCCTCATTGATAATTTTGATATAGACGAAGCATCAATAAGAGGCATAAAACTGAAACGTAAACAATGGTTCCCCTTCATTTTAATTTGATTTTATATAAAGCAGTGCTTATAATGGATGTGAGTAAATAACAATACTGAAGTTATCATTTGAGACATAATTTGAAAAAAAAAACTCATGAAGCGATAAGCATTTCACAACGGACTTCTATACGCGTTCTCTGTTTAAGCCGTTTTTCTCCAAAAATTCGGAAAAACAGCTTAGCACGATACCAAAATTGAGTACAGGGTACCGTTACGGAAAGCATTATTTCCATTCTTTCCAGCTTAGTTATATTTTCTTTTTACAAGATCGAAACGTATGTCCTCCATCTTAAACTGGCTTTAGGAGCACTGCTTTCCCAAGTTCCTTCCAAAGTCTTCGAACAAACAATTTTGAAACGATAGCTAAGAACTGAAGAAGACAGATTAATCGAAACAGCATGCGAAACGAACAGTAAGCAATATCTAATTAAGATGAACGCATAGGCATTACTACTACTAATACTTCCATAGCATGATCGCTCGTCGAGATAAAGATCGAAATTTAACATGGATTCATGATCGGAATAGCTAATCAGTATTGCGAACAGCGACATCTTGCAAAGTTCAGACAAGAATAACCAGATTCAAACCATAATTTATTCCATTGATGGTAAGTAAATTGCAGTCGTCATATAGGTACCCAAAACTGAAGCTTGGTGATTGCTAAAGCACTTTTTTTTCCAGCTTATAAATCCAGTGAAAAGCAGCTAAATTGTCTTTAATTTGTCAACTGTTTGCACTGTTTGCTACATACAAAGAGGTGCAGAAAAACACGAATACAGTAAAAATAAATTACACTGTTAATGGTAAAGATAGATAAGCGGTCATGATAAAAATTTTTAGAAACAATTCGATGATAATATTTTATCCTGTTATGCTGTTTCAGCCAAATTATTCCTCACTACTATGGTTCGTTTTACTACTCATTTGCAGGAATGACAGGTAATTCAAACTGTTTTCAAACCTCCAACGCCTATTTATAATTAATTAATTGTATAATTGCGTAATCGTATGATTGTAATTAATTGGATGAGATTTAACAAAGACACCCACATATAAATGCAGAAAAAAAGATTTGATATCGTGCCTAAACTACGAAGCAGGCTAACGAGCTGAATTTGAATTCGGGTATTTCCAGAATAAACTGTTTGTCTACAACAGACATTTGTTTCACTGTTCCAAAAATGTTGAAGCAACACCGTCACTTGCCGCCTCGCCTAAATTTAAATTTTCCATTGCTGACTGCAAAGCCTTCGCATTGCCTAAATGTAAAATTAATTTTTGTTGGTTAAAACATTGGGAGTTTTTCGCAAAACATAGTTTTAGTGCCAGAACGACTATCAACTTAAACCTCACCTTCACGAGAATAACTAACCAATATATCTCTACATATATTACAGAAGCTTCCAAAAGGCTCTTTTGCAATACCAATTTTCATAATCACTTATTTGATATGATTAAAAACGATACCCTCAAAACAGTTCTGATTTAACTCAGTCAGCATGTAAATGCAGCAAATAAATTGTACCTGAAGAATAGGCTATCAAGGCATTATGAAGAAGCAATAACTGCTTACGTATTACTTTCCACCGGTTTTCTTCCAATAGTCTCAGTTTTACCTAAAAATCAAAACTATAACCTTATCCAGTGGTAGAATGATAACGCGTTTTGTTCTCAGTTAGGGAAGAAAAGCTGGCTAAAAAGCCAGCTGCCTCAACATCTAGCAAATAATGGTCAAAGCAAACAGATTTCAATGAACATCGATTCTTGCTTTGATAACTGAATCAAGAATGAACTAGAAAAGAAAGAAAAGGACCTTTACGTCAGCTTTTAATTGTTCGTATTTTCCACGATGCTTATTACATCGAAAATCAACGCTTGCAATTGCTTCACAACTCGCACCTGATTGCTGTAGCGCTGCTTTTTCATTGCGATGCACGTCATACTCCAAACGAGCCTATAATGAGAATATTATTTGTGTGATCGATGAAAATTTTTTCGTTCCAGCTTTTGTACTGTCTTTTTCACAATTTTTTATGTCCAGATTCTACAAATTGCTATTATCTGGGAATCAATTTAAAAACTGATAAATTTATGAAAGTTCCGCCATAAGAAACCATTGTTAAGTTAAAACGATAGGAGCAGTTTACAACTCGATACCAAAGGAATGCATTTTGTTGTCTAATAAAGCTTCAGAAAATGACGAGATTTTATCGATTGCAATTAAGATAGAACGAGATAAACTCATAATGAGAAGAAAAACCAGGTCATAATTATGAATTGTCTCCATTGTGTCTTCAAATGTCTTCTCGGACAATGTCTTAATTGATGAAAGAAAAAACGACAAAGCTCGTTCTAGAAGTTCACCGTTATGTGCCATCGAACGCAATGAATCACAGTTGGAAGAGCACTCTGCCTAAAAAAGTTTATAAAAAAGGTTCTCAGCTATTCTTACAATTTCAAGGATATTATCAAAAACTAACATTTCACAACTTGAAAACCAGGATTCGGTAGTTTCAAATAAAGCAAAAATTTCATAATAATTATAATCAGTTGGATCTTATAGTTAGTAAGGAAAGGACTGATCAAAACACAATAGTCGATTAACAAGGAAAAGCTTTTTACAGAAGAGCTTTAATGTGTTCGGAGAATTTTCCAAGATAAACACACGTTCAAACTCATTTCTTTCAGTGAGAGTTGGTAAAGAGATTCCGCTAAGCCTTTCTGCGCTTCGTTCATTCGATGAAAGTTGGAAGTGAACAATTTTGACATTGCTAACACCTGCAAAAAATCAAAATTCACTCAATTCAAATCCTTCCAGAAATATTTGAAAAAACGAAACAAATAATAAGCAAATATCCAAAAACTGTAAGCGATTAACAACAAAAAAAAAAATAAACCTGGTTGTAATACTTGTGTAATATTCTTAGTTGTTCGATTTGTTCTTCTAATTCCTTGTCAACTGTGCGTTCTACCTAGAAGTACTAAACACACATAAATGCAACATTAATTTTAATGTCTTCAGAAAAAAGTATAAAAGAATAGGATTAACACTGCATCATAAACAAAAAATAAGAGATGAACACAATGAAAAAAAAAGCGATAAAGTATGGAATGAGAAGTTCAACAAAAACAAATGAAATTATATAAAGAACTTCAAAAACTCCCGACCTTTCCTAAATTTTCACATATAGACTGTTTCGTTGTTTTGTAAGTCGAAACGGTCCATTTTTTCAGTGAATCTATTTTTGCAGCCATCTGCGCCAGATCGGGTCTGAAAGTGGTAAACAAGAACAGGAAGACTTTTTCAGGACGATCAAAATAAATTCCAAACATCACCTCAAAGTACTTCATTTCTATAAAAACTTTTTTATTCAAATGCACTAAAAACAGCTGATGAAAAATTCGTTTCTTGGTTAAAAAATGAGTTCACAACACTTCGATGCTCACAAAGTGTTGAATTTTCGACCACGACGACCATTTCGAACCTCTACTTGTAGTGATGGAACTCACCCACTATCTTCTTATCTACTAAGGGATACACAGAAACAGTAGAAACTAGCAGACTGCTCAAATCTCAAATTCAACACAAAATTCAGTTAAGGGAAAAAGTTTTTGTGAAATGGAATTCTAATTGCAGCGAAAATCTGTATTATAATAAATGAGAGCATATTTCGAAACAAAATCTCTACAAAATAAAACTACCCAAATAATTTTAATGTTTCTTTGTGAACCAATCAATAAAATATGTTTCTACTTTGATGCCAAACCTGTCGCCGGTGGACATTAGTTCAATTTTATATCCAAAAAAGAATTCTGGGAAAATATCAACTCAAATTACACGGAAAAAAATATCAAAACCGCTATGTATTTGAAATCTTACGTGTTACATGGTGAAAAAGATCGTCGCATTCCATCCGAAGCTGAAATTAAAACCTATCCAGTTTCACTTAGAGATCAAAATTATGAGCTGAAAAACTTACGGACTAAAATAATTAAACATTTACATAAGTTAGCTAAGAAGCAGGAAGTAACAAATAGAGAGAAACACATATCTTTTACTTACAACCTTAAAATAAGAAACAGAATGTTATTCGTACACTTTCTCCACAGAAATGATCAAATAATACTGTTGAGTTCTCGTAAATTTTGCGAACAGAGATTACGCCGTGGACAGAACAGTAGAGACTCAGTATAACGGCATCAGTATGATAATATAAATCTAATTATCAAATGTAAACATCAAGTTATCAAAGACTTCCAAGGAGAGAAGAGAAAAAACATAATGGATGGAATGGAAGAATTGAAACTGAAAAGAGAATGAAAGAATTGAAACTGAAAAGAGAAATAAAGAATAATGTTAGGATGAATGTTAACATGAAGTTAGAGTGAGTACAAAAATGTCAACAAACACGATAACGAGTGGTTGCACAACACTTTGATGAATGATTTGTACAGCACAGAGAAAATTGCTGTGTTATACAGAGTAACAGATTGTTGTCTCGATTGTCGCTTAGGGACTTTTCGCTTTTTATATAATGTCAATAAAGATTTAGGTAGCCCCAATCTTTCCCGTTACAAGAATCACCAGCGTAATTCCGAAATTTATCTACCAACGACAGCTCGATGTTTCTTGACTTTCGACTCTTAATATTTTACGGAGTAATATCTCGAATGTTTGCTTACCTGAAGTGGCCACAGAACAATTACTATTCGATCCAGAAACAAACATATTATTACTTTCTGGCATCATCTGAAATAAATATGATGACCCGCTGGTAATACTATACCAGCTCAGTCGGGAGAGCGTTAGACTGAAGATCTAAAGGTCGCCGGTTCATAATAGCCGCTTTTCTCCTCCAATATAATGTGAAACACCTGAATTCTTCCGGGATTTTCTCCGAGACATTACTGTGGGAGATTATTTATAACTAATCTTGTTGTTCTATGCAATAGTATTTAGGGTGTCAAGGATGGATCCTTGACCCCGAGCGAAATGAGTAGACCTACCCCTACAATATCTGAAAATTACTATTAATGGGTGAAGAAAGCTAAAAGCCACCGTTCCATAAAATACAAAGTAATCCAGCTATAAGGAATTGTTTATTTACTATAGACTGCACACAGTAAGCTGTTGATCCCGCAACATTCATGGTGAACCGCAGTTCAGGAATAGGATTTGTTGGGGCTTAGACTGAGATAAATACGATAATCAGGAACTTCTTCCCTAACATAATGCAGACTACATCCGACAGGTAGGGGTAATATGTAGGTAAGACTTCCCCAATCAACCTTACACAACGATGATACATTTCGATAATTCCATTCTCTAAATGATAGGATAAATCACGTCAATAACTATCAATCCTCACGCCAAACAACACCAACTGAAATATAAAAAAATAGATAAATATATTCGAATTCAATCATAAAAACTGCAATAAAAGCAATGACTGTGAATAAAATCATTTCTACGTCATTTCATTATGAACCATTATCAGGGATGGCATCTCTACACTTTCACTTCCCTTTTCTTTGATTCCTGCAAGGAATCTCTCGTCTTCCCGCCTCATCTCCTTTCGTTTTCACAAAAGCTTTTTTTGTACTCTCGACGAATTTGATCCGCTACATATGCTTACATATCGAAATTTCCAATAATTACAATTCAACAGAACTTCCACTCATTCCTCTACTTCATCACGGATATCATATATCTATACTTTCAGCGGGATAAATGAGCAACTTACAGGTGAACTAACGAAATTTAATAAAAGCTGAACTAAACAAGAAATAACAAGTAATACGCAACAAAACAAACACTTCGGCCAGAGGAATACGGAATTTTATGAAATATGTAAAAAACAACAAAAACACCGAACTCAGCTTCTTGATCGATCTCGATCAGTCATCACACTGGCACTGGCTTCTTCGAAGTTCTCTTTCAGACAACAAAGCCACCATTTCAAATCATAGACATCAGAAAACAAACCGAGATAAATCCAATAAAAATGACAGGAAAGCACTGTTTTAGAGCGAAAATTGCCTTGAAGAATTTTTCAGACTGCTAGTCACAGTAACACAGAAACCGTTTTCCCACAAGCCAATTAACATTTAAGTCCCCTCAGGAAACAATAATTCTTTCAAATTCTCCGTCTTCCACTCACAAAAATCAAAAGGATCAAACTCATATTGAAAAGCAAGAGAACAAGAATTTCCAAGGAAATCTTGTGTACACTTACGAGAATGCCAAGACCAGGTATGCTTTGGAAACAAGCTTGTGAACATCTGCACGATCCAACAGTTACCGAAAAAGTGGACAGAACATTAAATGGCAATGGCATGATGTCGCCAAGAGATATAAATAATAAGAAATGTGCTCGTGATGCACGAAAAAGAATTTAAAAAAAAAAAACAACAGGGAGTAATGGGAAAACAATGAAAAAGAAAACGAAATAAAAGTGCCAACTGATCGCCTAACAATAGTGGTTCCAAACCCTTTCTTAACCAGGGACCATTTTGACTTTTGTATTTGTAGCAGTTATCTCTACAGAAAATTATCGTTTTCTGAGACGGCAGCATGCTTTTGTCCAAACAGTTCTTTGTACAGCAATAAAAAATATCTATAATTTTCGACGCAAAACGAAGTGAAGAGATAAGCATATATAATACAAACATGTTGGAAGTTAAAAAACACAAAGTTATTACTTGTATCAACAAATTATTTAACATATTCCTTTAATGCACTTTGAGTGTAATGTACACGATGACATCGACTAGGCTGTTAAATCAGAGTCATTAAATTTAAACTTTCATAGCAGAATTTTTCCAATAACTAAGTTTGTAAAAACAGGCCAAAATAAATAACACGACGAGACTTATATTTACAATAATTTACAAATGAGCGTAAAATTGATTTCTGGCAGCGTTAAAATGGAACTTCCTCATTCTAGCACAGAAGCTGCTTTGTTTTATTAATTTCAAGAAAGTACACAACCATTCTGGTTTCGCTTCATATTCCCATTTGCAATTTCAATTTCACGCAGCAAACAATCAAAGATTTGTTCCACAGACTGTAAAAATTATCCGAAGTTAGAAAATGAGTAGTGAATCAAGTCGTATGAATTTTTTTTCCAGTAATTTTTAGTTATGCCTCACTTGAATCATACCAATATCAGTTTGACTTCACCTCAATTCACAAACTACCGAGTTATAGTATGGTTGAGTTGCTTTTAAATATTCATAAGAAATTCATTATGTATGATTATTTAATCTTTTTCTCATAATAATACACTAGATCCAAACATTTAGGTGTTGTACATTAACAACGAGATTGCCTGGATCGCGCCGTACTATTTCAAACCTAGTAACCCTCTATCTGATGAATATTCATCCCATTATTAATCCAAGGATTTTTCACAATTTCATTATTTAAGTTCAGGAAATAACAAATAAAGTTCTGTGAAATATTCTGCAAAAAAAAAAAAAAAAAAACGTACCAGAACGAAATGCATCGGTGACCTACTGTATTATCTTTTGCCGATGTTTCTAAAAAAGCAGCATTCCAAGAAACGGCTAACTGTCGTCCCTCCTCTGTTGAAACGTGACGTGCATTGAAGTGCAGATCCAGTTTATTTCCCACAACCACAATTGGTATGCTAAGAATTAAAGTTCAATATTATCCGAAGCCAAAACTTCAATAAGAAATGTATGTCTTCAGAAAGTTTAGCAATCAAACACCGAAAATCTCATCACTCACTTTTTGTCCCCGAGATTTTCCATTATTTTATCGTAAATGGACTGAACTATTTCAAATCTGTAAAACAAAAGCATTAGTGCTCACATATAAATAGAGCATTCTCTCAATGTAATAGCACGACTGTCGTTGAAATTAACAGTCAATAATAATACCATTAAGTAAAAAAAATCTTGTTAACTCACGATTTTCGATCATCAATCGCATAAACCAGGATATATCCATCAATATCTATTGCACAGCTACGTGGAAATAATGAGAATTCTTGCTAAAAAGAATGGAAAAATTCGTTTCAAACCAGATAGTTCGAAATTTTTATCATTTTAAGATGAGAGTTACTGATTTCACAGAAATACCCAATGATGATACGGCATAGGCTTACTTGTCCCGCAGTGTCAGTGATTTGCAGAGCAAACTGCTTTCCATTAAATTTATACGGTTTCGTATAGATATCCTCAATGGTTGTGTCATATGCGTCTGGAAAATTACCATACACAAATCGTAATGTGATAGAAGATTTTCCTAAAAATAAAATGAAAAGTAATCCAAATATTCCGACCATGTCCTGGTTTCGTGATTTGCTAAATATTTCACATATTGCTTTTTTTCTTTCACTGCATTAGAACGCAACATAATGTGTGTTGATCATTTTCATCAAACATAAACTGACAATGATGGTAAATTCATTTTATTCCTTGCATACAGTAAACGAAACCCAAAGTTTCTGCATCCAGAAGGTTCCGTTCGTCACTTAGTTGTTCATCATTACTAGTGATAATATTCAAAAAAAAAGAATATTAACTAACCGACGCACGGATAACCCATCACAGCAATTTTTCGTTGAATAGCATTCGCCATCTGCTACCGTTTTCCAATAAATTCTCTCTTGTAGAAAATGATTTATCTAAACAAACATGGCACTAAGTAATCCAGTAACGAATTCAGCTAAAAATAAGAATTATTTGGTTTTCTCAAATCTAAAGACTGAAACTAAATCTCAAAATGTTGGCGAAATCATCTTTCGTCTTCTTTATTTAGAGTTAACCTTAAACATTTCATGAATGACAAAAGAATTCATTTCAGAATGAAGTTACAATATCCCCATACCATATTTAATTTAAAATTATTTCATCCAAGGCAGCTCCTTGAGCCCTTTTCCCACAAAATTCTATTCCAGATATTTTTGACTGTTTAACTCAAAAATAATTTATGAATTCTATTCATTTTTAATATAGAAATATCTGAACTGCGGAGTTCTCTAAACAACGTGAAAATTAAATTAAAATAAAAGCATATGGAAAGTTACCGCGTTCGTGCACAAGACACATCCAACTGCAAAGTCCAGATGTTCACACCAAAATATGAAGATACGTACCCTTGTAAGAAAAGGGTAGAATCAACCAACTGCAACCCTGTGGAACAAGTGAATTTCTACAAAAACTAAAGCCTTTCGACGTTAAAGCGAGATATTCGAACTTATGTTCCTCTCTTTCCTTAAATGTGCGTACTTAAGATGAGCAAATGATTAAATACATATATGAAGACTGACGTAAATCTGCTTGCGCTGAATAAGAACCTAAAAACACCATCTCCACGCGGCTCCCTTGTCACTCTTATCAACCACCACTGCATTCCGAGTGAAATTGCGCTGTAAAATACGTCACATAATCCCTACAAGACGCATCAGTTCTTCAGTGTTAGTGTATCTGATCAAGTCTCGATACTGAGGTGGGATGGGGTTTAGGCTTTGGCTAACTGAGATCTGAAATGTTTATGGCGGGTGGCAACAGCGAAGCATTGGACTTGTGTGGCATGGTTGAGGGATCTGTAATATCGGTGCCATTCTCGGGGAACCCATCGGTTATGTCAATTAGATGGCTGCGCAGAAAGTGGAAAAATACAAGGTTAATCACTCACAGATTGCTAAAACCTGAAGACTGTGTCTGAGTCCATACAGTTTAAGCTCTTCGTTAGTCTGGAATCTTCAGAAGTGAGAAAGGAAGTATTATTTGTCAACGTTTTACAAGTTAGCATAGTTCTAGCTTAAGTCGGACTTGGTCATATGCTAAATAACCGTTCATTCATTAATCTGAACTGTATTTTCACACATGGAACCAATCGCGGGCTGCAACTGTGAAATAGCTTCGGTAGATACAGACAGAAGTGATTTATGAGAAACATTTTTATTTCTGACTGTTTTAATAAATCATTTCAGCATTTCAAATTACAAAGAAGTTACGATTCAATGCATACAATTATAATTGTTTGAGATTGATATATAACTCCAATCTATTTCAAGAACACAGCGTTTTACGTTTAGTTTTATTGCATTCCTCAGAAGCAATGCCAGTGGTGGTTAGAAAATTGGTTGGACTTGTAAACTTGACTTGAATAATATCATCATATCCTTTAACGGGGATTACTTTCTCGATTCTTCTAATCGTTAACATTCTACCTAATGAAAACTATTTAAACCTTTAGGATTTTTTGAGATTTTGGGCTAGAGAACTTTGAATATTCCAGTTTTCAACAACAAAACTGAACAAAATCGAACTGAACCAAATTTAGCCTCCTACCAGGAGAACTTTCATGGCAAATACTCACCACGACGATTTCTAAACTTTAGAGACATTGTGAGAAGCTCGAATAATTAAGCATTAGTCACTAATGATGTTGTTTTGTGCGCGTATTTTTGGCATCTGAGTCGGTATCAGCAGCCGCAGCTATAGCAGCTTGACGCATCTTTCTGGCCACCATTACCTTATGGAAAAGTATCATTCGTTTGTGAATCTCTGCGTCAGCGATGAATTCCGGTAGCCATTTGAGGCATTCCACCTAAAATTAAAATGAAGTCATTTCTTTGCACATATGAAACAACTCGAGTTTTCTGCTTTCCTTTCTCACCAACTTATTTTCAAAGTTTCTCTTAAGGGTTCGATATATGTTTAGAGTAAAAAGGCGATTTCTAGTCTAGTAAATCATTCAAAAAATTGGGGGAGTTTGGACTCAAACAGAATCCTACAAAATTTTAGTTTGAGGTGAGAGTTAACCTTTATCTGGTGAGCAAAATATCCGGTTGTGTGCTTTATGATTCCGATTGTTCGGACAGCAGATCTAGCATAAACATCAGCTTTTGGTCGGAAAAATGATGGTCTTTTGACCTAAAATGAACAGTAGTCGTATTTCATTGGGAAAACGTAGTATCATTTTAAATGAATAAACTGAAAAGTTTGAAGATGAGTAAACCACAAGGAAACAATCTGCCACTTTGGTATTAAGTAAAATGCAGAAGGTGACTCCTGCTTAAGGGATTTTTCTCATTTTTTTTCCTTTCTATGGAGAAACATAGATTTTCAACTGCAGATATTAAATTTAATATAGTTGGCTATACCACTCACCTTGGCTAGTTTTGTGACTACAATCATCGGATTCACTTCCTGTATTATAATATTGGTTTTCGCATATTCTTCCTGCACTATTTTCGTTAACCAAGAGACGTATTTCTGGAACCTACATGGTCTCAAATCTTATTTGAAATATAATAGCTTCGAAACCAGCAAAATATAAGACTTTGAACTGAACGCATTGAGGATAAATCAAATTTTGAAAATTTTTGACTGGAAATACACTTTGAAATTTTCAAAGAAAAAATAATAATAATGGTTGATCAAAAAGAAAGAGTGGTAATAGTAGAGGACGGTACATCACATGCTACTTATCATTATAAGTCGACATATAGGAATTGGTACAAAACTACTGTTCCGTTTTCGAGTGTTAAGTGCTCAACACTAACAATAATTTTGATCCCTCTTGAACAGGAAAACAACGTGGAATACAACCTTCGATGCGGCATAAACACTGAACCAACGTAATTTGTAATATGCAGAGGATGAGGCTACATTGATGATAATGCCTGAATCTCGTTCATACATTTGCGGTAGTACGGCTGCCATTAGCTAAATATTAGCTTAGCTTATTGAAATGATTATTTAATACTTAATTAATCTTTATTTAAACTTCCTAACACTTGCTCAGCACTAATTTCAGTTGCTATGGCTCATTATACTGCGTACTGCACCAGTAATCTCATTCTGTCGAGGTAAAATAAGGTAAATATCTCTATTGGAAGGTTATAGTAGAAATTAGGGCTTTTTTGGTTAACAAAGAAATTCCCCTTTCAGCTGTCAAGTGCTTAATGACTATCGTAGGAGAAAGAATACTTACCACTGTTGCGGGGATGATATTAATTACACTGATATGCTTGAATAGTTTGATACCTCCGTCAACTTTGTGGTACAGATCAGGATATTCGAATGTAGATCCAACGCTATTCACTGAATAATCAGTCATTATTCATGGAACACAACTTAACATAATTACGAGAAATTGAAAAACATAAGTGTAGCGTGCAATAGTCCGAGTATGGAAAAGCACAAAATAAAGCCTTTTAAATCCATTCAAAAAAAACGCATTAAAAGAGATTGAAGATTTGAAATAGTAGCAATTATATTCGAAAATAATTCAATTTTTCCTATTTTATTTCCAAAGTTCCATATAGAATTCCATCAAGAATGCAATCAAATGCGAGTTATGATGAACAAATTTAAATAGTGCAGTGTTCACCTCATAATTCGTTTCGCATCATTTTTAACTTTCAACAGAATTTTTATTAATACTTCACCTTCATTTATCTTTCCATCGTCTCAATCTTACATATATATATATATATATACATATATATAGAAGTATTCCTATACAAATCAATGAGTGGTTCATACTCTCAAAAATACGAAATTCTAAAATGAAAAAAGAACAAGAAGAGAAATTTAAATTTACCCAAAATGCCGATGTCGAGTGCTCGGATTTGTGACAACAGTGACTGCTCATAATAATCAATATCTGCACTGGAAAAATCGAAAGCAATTGTTCGGACCTGAAATTGTCATTCGTTCAAGTATATTTGCGTTGTGATTGTAAAGGAAAGTGTTCCTGTTGGTACCACAACTGCTAAGATGATTTAGAAGCAACAAATTCTGATGCATCAAATTAAGTGTTGTGAACTGTGAGTTTAAATTAAATTTATGTAGTCTTTCATTCTTTACTTTAAAATTTAAAGAGCTATATTACCTCGGAAGAAGTTTCTTGTTCAATTTGAGCTTTAACATCATCAAGCCTTGACTGTGTGCGCGAGATGAGCAATATCGAGAAGCCTTTTCTTGCTAATTCAAATGCATATCCTTTACCTATACCATCTGTTGCACCAGTAATTACTGCAACTAACTTCTACGATGTCAAGGCAGATAAGGATTTCTTTCAAGTTAAGAAAGTAGGTGTATATGTGTTATAATGAAAGTAATTCATCAACCGAATGTTAAAGAAAAGCTGAGCAGTACCTTTTCCCAATACTTAAATATTCTTCCACAATGACTAGTCCATTAACTATTTCACAAACTAATACTTCCATTTGTATTTCATGAAAAGCGAAAAGAAGCGAAGGCAGGAATTAAGCCGATTAACTGTCTTGTCAAGAATGTAACTTTATTACAGAACAGACTATAAGTCATAATGAAGCATATGCAATATCACATGTTCGATATATGATATCGATAATGGAATGTATTAGAAAGATATGAAGGTAATTACTGCTATTTTTCAGTTTTAGTTTACCACTATATTTCCAACTCCTCAGTGGTGTGTCAAATGTTAAACATCTCTAGTGAGCTAAAATTAGATGGCAAAATTTGTAAATTATGATTTTTAAAAAATCACCTGCCCATTTAGCACCAGCAAGTTTGTGGAGATCGCGTGGTTTGGCTAGGAAAAATGGATAGACTAAATTGTAAAGTGTAAGCATCAGACGATATATGGTAAATATTATATAAATCCAGCCAATAATGCTTATCGTGGACAGATCCATTTGCTAAAATTGAAAACATGAGAGTCAATAACTCATTAAATACAGATTTCACGTTTTGATAATAATTGAAGTGGAAATTGATAATTTCCTATTTCTATTACAACACTTTCGTCCATTTCTTCTAAAGGTCCGCTTTTTTACCGTACACGTCCACTCCTTTATTTAAAAAAAAAAAAAAAGTGGAATAAATGAATAATCTCTGCTTCCAATGGTTTTATTCCAAACAAATATCTGCAATTTGTTAAACAGTACTTCCTTTACTACTTGTTAAAAATTACGCGTAAAGCGGACCTGACTAAATAATCCATTTTTCACTTCCTAAAGACTCCATCACTGATTTCCATATTGTTAAGCGATATACAGTAACCTAAGGAAATAAAACAAAGAGAACATTGCAGCGAACTTTTTCATTGCATACCAACAAGGAGTTTTGTCTGTTAAAACGATTTCTTGCTAGAAATTTTAGAAAAAACCAAGCTCGAAACCAAAAGCGTTTCCAATTTCTAGTAGTATATAGAATTAAGATCTTATAATCTAAGCACTTTTTGACCCAAAATCGTTAATTTTAAAGCTTTAGCATTTTGTAACAATCTTCCTTAGAAGTTCATGAATTTGACATCAGAATGTTAAGGTTATGATGTAACGTTAAATGCAAAGTCAGTAGCAGAGATAGATACGAATAATAATTTTCGTTTCAAAGAAGCCAGACAGCATTGGATCATCGTAATGATGATATAACCAGATCGCTCTGAAACTAATTGCCTTTAGTTGCAAGCTAAGTAATCAATTCACTTTATGCAAATTTAATTTTTTAAATTGTTTTAACAGGTCCTTCCTTGTACACCGTTGGAACTTCAAGATAATTCAGTAGCAAAGCAAGCAAGCTTAATTTAAAGCATAAGCTTAAAACGCGTGTGTGCATTGCAGTTGTAGATTTTGAATTTCGATAACATTGAAATTACCAAAAAAATTTGGCGTTTTTGAATTCGCCATGCTTCAGTTTTTTGTTCTTACTTGCAATTTTCATAACTTTTCCACAATATTGTGCACATTCCAATCGAGATTCTAAGAACTGTCATCTTCAAGAATTACAAACAAACACAAAGGATTCAGAAGGTGACTTTTTAAATTCCGGCAACAATCATTCCTCTACAGTCTTATGAAAAGTCAAAACAATTCTTCGCGTTGTTTTTTGATTGACAATTTCCAATTCTCCTTGGTTGTTCACACTTCATTTTCATACGTTGGATCAATTTTTTATTTCAGAATGTCCGTATCAGGAAAATACTGTTTATTCCATCAAGCATTCCTCACAATCCTAATGATGAATTAATAGTTTTGATTAGGGGAACTCAAATTACAAAATAAATCAGATTGTTGGTAAAAGCAAATCATTTTTGAATCAAACAAAAATACATTAACCAGAACTCGAATCTTTCATATATTAAGCAATGTCCATTAGTGGCTATATTTTCAAAAGGTTTCATCTTAAAAAGAAGCAAATATAATAAAGATATCTCTATTTAATTTAATAGCAAATTGACCGGTATGATATAAAGTAGCGTATCATAAATAAATCAAAGAATAATCAGATTATCGAATTTTTATAAAGTTAACGTAAGAATAATCAAACCCAGAAAGATTTTTTTTTTCTTGGATAAAAGTAATCGAATACTAATCAGAACATAGTGCGAAAGAACTGGAAGGTAATAACTGTTGAAGGATCAAACAGTTTATTTTTTATTGTGACCTGTAGTTTTGACTGCAAGAATTTCATTGACTGAACACAGATCTTTCGAATATATCCACACGTGGTATCTAAAACAGCGATAATCAAACCAGAAAGCTAATGTGTATTTCATCTCACAGTGATTTCATTATAGCCGATAACTATGAAATGGGTAGAAAATTAGGTATTAGATTTATTTCAACGTTCAAAAGGGCTATTTTTTGAGGCCATACTACAACTGTTTTAGCAACAAACTGAGATGAGTGATTCTGAATCATTAAGACTGCGAACCTGAACAAATCAAAAATCAGGGACACATATCTGGATTACAAAATAGCTGCAATTAATTGCTTTGAAAAATGTCGTGCAATCAAGAATTATATGGTACTGTTATAAATCAATAAATAAATTAAAGGAGGTCTTCTGCCCTCACTATGGATACTCTCCCTGGTTGAACTTTGCATTGGGGAAGGGACCATTTATTTAGGACTTATTTCCAGCGGAGCGCAAAAGATATGAAAGTGGAAATTTATATGGACATAAGGAGATGTGTATCCAACGTAATAAGAAGAATGGACCAGCGCTACTGGATTACAATTTTAAATGACTTCTTTAATCGTTTAAATGGCAACCAAATCAGGACCAGAACGTAGAATGACATAGTCGAGAGAAGGAGAGAGAGAGAGAGAGAGGGAGAGGAGGATGGGTAATTACAGAGGTTAAAACGGTCATGAAAAAGGAATGAATAGATTTGAAATGAATCAGAAATGTCGGTAGAAGTATATTATGAAAGGAAGCGGAATGATGCAATCTCTCTCAAGATTCAAATAAGGTCAGGCAATACTGCCGAAGGCAATGAAATTATCAAACGTTCTCTCTATCGTCGATTGTATCTGTAATAGGTGAACCACGAATGATCGTCAGGAAGTAATGTGAAATTCATGATGTCTGTTGAACCGAGATGTTACAGCTTGAAAAAATGATATTGGTTGGATCATCCGACCCGAATAAGGATGAATCAAACTTGATGATTCACGAGAATCAATTAGATTGACGTTTACAAAACTACATTTCTGTGATTGAGTGAACAAAAATATCGACTACTGAACCAGAAAAGATCCCGTTTACCACAAAGATCAACATGCAAACGGAACGCGACAAGCGTTCACCTATTTCTGTTTCCTTGCCTTCCTTTCGAACTCTTTCATTCGTACAAATTTCCTTCCTTGAAGCTTCTCAAAAAAAGATATTTGACAGTTGTGCTTATGTAATATATCGAACAGGAAGAATGAGTACAGCTTGCAGAAATTACTTCCTACTATCAATAATGAAATGAGGCGTTGAGAAGAGAGTATAAAACCGAGTTTAATTAATTGATTACTTAGATATGAATGTCATATTATATCACTTAATATTGCTCTACTGCCATTTCAGCTATGGTACTGGAATAAGCACTTACGAAAACTTTCAGCAGAAATTAGCTTTGTCAAAAAACAACCTGTTGATTAAGTGGGTACTGTCACAGCAGTAAATTTTAATGGCTAAAAAAAAAAGCGCCAGAAATTTTGGAAAATCAAAAACATCGCAGAAATCACATTAAACGAGCAATAACTTCCACATCCACAAGTTGCGGGATAATTCAAAAGTGAAGTTAACAAAATATCGCCAGAAATTATGAGTCATGTTTAAATGGAAAGAAAAAGGATGTCGCGTGAAAATTTTAGGAATAGCGAGTAGTAAAACTTCGACTTTTAATTCAAGTTGCTTCCCAAATCCACCAAAAAAAAGCATGATATTCCAATCTAAGATCTTGCCAGTATAAGGATATGAAAAAACCTGAAAGCTATCATATTACGAGCCAACAAATTAATGCAATACATCTACATGCAGCTGCACTTACTATCGAATTTTTAAAAATTTAAAACCAAATTAAAAAGAATTGAAGTGCGAACCGAAATGTTGCAAAAAAAAGTATCATCACAAAACATACTGTGAAAAATGAATAAAACCCCTCCTATAAGTAACTGTCACGACGATCGATTGCTTTCAGTTATTCAAAAGCATTTCCATCTTTATGCTCCTTCTTTACTTATTTCATTTTCAGATGGAAATCTGGGGTATCATATTGACCACACTAACAGAAATGACGGAAAATTTCTTTTTCCAACAAAAATTTCAAAAAATCACACACAAATTTTACTTTATCTCATTTTCTTAGTTTTAAAAAAGTATCAGATAAAAGATATGCATAAGAAAATGTTTCAGGTTTCTTGTGCAACAATTAGTTACCTTTTTCATTATAAAATAAGATGAAGCCCATTTTGCAACAGTTTTACAATTTACATTCCGACTTTATTTCATCAAAGTTATTGAACTGAAAGATCTCAAGTTATATTTATTAACTGAAGGTAAAGCAACCCACTAGTAGTGTAAATGGCACTGTCAGAATCATTTAATTAAAGCAACTAATTATATATTTCTATTAACTCGTTTTGTATTTTTTGCTTAAAATTCATTGAAGAAGCACATTGAACTATGACCTGCGACATTAGCTGAAAGCTACTGAATCGTAATAACCAAGTTTCAGCATTACTTAGTATCTGTCTCGATCATTACTTTCCAAGAAAAAGTTCGGAGATTCTATTTCGTTATCCTTATATGCAGATTACCTTTCCACTACACGAAATATGAAAGTTCACCATCGATGATAACATGACAATATGGCTTGCCGGAAAACCCATATATATCATTCCAGCTATTGCAAATAGAGATCTAATCCAAACAACTTTTCTTTGTTTTTATTTGAATAACACATTTCCCATGCTTGCTTGTGTTTGTAAATTTCAGGCTGATTGCCATATGAATCCACATTAACATTCCAAAGTTCTAAAGCAGACGACAGGAGTCTGAGTCTGCTCAATTACAGTCTGTTATGCTTTCTACCCACTATCCGCGCAGTTTTGCTCTTGATATTATCAGCAGTTATCAAGTTATTCACACGTAATTGCATTTGCATACTTACATCAACCGTGATAAATTGGATCACTTTTACCTTATCAATAAGTGATTGGAAGCGATCTGAAGACATCAAAGCGGTACCTTTCCAAATTGCAACATTTAAGATTCGGAAATATTCACACTGTCAGATGTCAAAAAAAAAGAAATGAGAAAGCATAAACAGTATAGACATCATCTAAATACTGACGACTTAGAAATAAGCAAAAATTTCATCGAAAAAAGGTTAAGTTCTTACCGACTGGCAGCCAATGCAGATCAGCATCCATTCCCAGAAATATTTAGCCCATTTTACATTATCAACAGTAACTTCGTACAACACAGGTAAAAACTGCTGAACAAATCTGTGAACATAACAATTCATGTGCTTGAAAGTGAATCCTTATTAAATCAAACAGTAAGTTTGAAAATAGTAAAAAAAGTTTAATAGAGTCAAATTTACAAGCCAATGTATTGTGGTTTTCAAACTACCCGTATTTTATATGGCAGAAACTCCAACTTCAGAGATGATTGCTAGTTATTTGCATAGAACTATTCTTCTGATAAAAACAGTCAAAAGTATTTATTCGAAGTCTTAATCTTATGAATCCGATGTACAAAGGGAAGAAGTATATGTGTTTACTTGAAGTGCTCAACAAATTTTCTCTACGTCAAAAAAATGTTGCTGACTGCGAAACAATACGAACATCCACAAAATATTAAAATATTAACGGATTTATATATCCACAAACGACGAAGTGATGCAATAGATACAATCAAAACCATGGGAACTTTACATGCAATCCCGTCACAACAACTGCAAAATTCCCGAAATCCCAAAACTAAACTGAATTATGAAATAAATTTCTTCTTAGGTAAAAGTGTCCCAAAATGACAAAGCTTATTCCATTTCACATCCACAAATCTTAAACTTATTCCTGCGGTGGCTGGAAAATCTGGGTAATGTGAGACTTTCCTCATTTTGTGTGAGCTATTATAATTCCTCAAGGCTTTTATCATTCGTTCATTTCCTGCATAAAAATTAAAATCTAAATAGGAACGAAAGGATAAATCTGAAGCAAAAAACGATGTTGGAGAAATGGATGAAAAGGAACTGCAACAACAACCACAAGTGACTTATCAGTTCATTAAAAGTACCAGTTGCTGTTTCAACAATTGAAGTCCAGGTTATCAAGAGTTAAGTTTGAAGCCAAGCACGTAACTATACGCACATAACCCCACTGCGTAAACTAGCAATTCTTTAACATCACTGTCAGAACTGATTGCTTCACAACTTCTCGTATTATATGGAAATATGTATACCTAATATGAAAGTTTTCGTATATTCCAAATTATTTATTGTTCAATGAATTTGCCTCACCAAAATCGGAACCGCTTTTCAGTAGCTCTACTGAAATAGAAGACTCCAATATTAACAGCAACAATCATAAACAGAAAATTCAGGTACAAATAAGAAATAAATTTCCATAAAATGACATTAATTCCAACATTGAATTCATTAGTTCAATCCAGCAGATGCTCAAAAACATTCGCACCAAGATAAAGAAAAAATCATTTAAATGAGCAAATATGACGCTATTCCGTCAAAAATAAAAGAAAAACAATGTTAGCAAAATCATAAGGGACAGAAAAAGGCACTGCAGTATATGAATACGCCTGAAGCTTTCTGGCGCGAATTACAGAAGACATCCTGTCCGAAATAAAATATTGAAACTTGCTACGAACTCCCAGGCTATAATTTCACCTTTGTATTGTCAGACCATAATTCTGATCTATAACATTGAAAGAATTAGGTTCAAATCAAAATCTAAACGAACACAAAAACAAAATTTGATTCTCCAACATTACAAAACTGTACTTAGTCTCAAACATCATAAAGTAATTGAACCTAAAAAGTCTGAGGCTCCTTTTTGTCTCACATTATCGTACACCGCATTGTGCATATCAGTTTTTTATCCTCAAAAAAGCTTAACAAAAAAACCAAAAGCTAATGGGTCGCAAGTACTGTGCGATAATAAGGCAATTGAAACGTTAAATGAAAATCAAGGCAAAATGATAATATTTCAGAAATGATAAGTTACTAAGACGAAACAAAGTGCATTTCCTTGAAAAAATGTTTTAAAGATTAAGTAACAGAATCACCTGTAGAATGAAATAATTAGTAAAGAAAGTCGACTTCAGGCGTACATGAATTTCGGTGAAGTGGTGGTAATATCCATCGCATCTTCTCGATTGCTTAAAACATTCGACGCTATATCACCATCTGAATAGACTATCGGCGAACTGAAAAAGTATTAGACATATTACAGCTTTCTAGTAATAATTATGTGGACTTTATATACTCTAATACTCACTTTCGTGATCTAATTAATCCACTTCATATTAATTCATTTCTCAATTTTTACGCTTACATTCCTGAAAAAGTGGTTGAAAAGAGACTCTTACTTTCAAACTACTTCAGTATTACCTTTGAGGCATCAGTATACTTCTGCTAACGATAGTCCTACCCGATAGCATAAGGAAATATGCATTAATAATTCGCAACCTGAATTTCTCTCTGTAAGTTTGTACGCATATGTTTTCAGACCACCACAGATGACGAGTGGGAGGACCTGACTTGAGAGTTTTCTATTAAGCTAATACAAAAAACGGAGGAAATAGAAAAGAGAGGTTTTAAAACACAGAAATGTTAATAATCGAAGTCCCGAGCGGACAAGACATAAACATTCACCGGAACTCAATATTTTCATCTCCTGCAAATGAATTATACGTACCACTGATTTTTAATTGGCGATAGCGCTTTAGTTAATTTTGGCTTCTGCATCTCCTCGAGAACACTTGGCGCAACATACGTGAAACCTTCGAATGGATTCACTGACAACGAGATATTCTGCTCGCAAGGTGAATCAACTGGCGTCATCTTTGTAAATTTACTATCAAATAAAGACACATCATCCTCCGAAGTGATATTTGGCTTATATGGTGGCTCCAACTGCAAACAGAAAACAAACTCAAAAAAATTGAACAGTATTTGCAGCGACTTATTTTCGGTTTCAAAGGTCATAAATATGAGAAGGAAAGGGAATACTGTTCAGCACTACATCTGATTTTTTATCAGATGAAATTCACAGACAACGAGTAATTTCATAACAGAGCCACAACCTTCCGTGCGTAGACTAAATCCCAATTAAAAGACCGGAAAAAGGAATGTTGTTTAATTTCACAAGCATCCTCAGGTCCAGCTCCAAGTCTCGTTTCAACATGTCTCTTCAACAGCCTTTTGATCAAATCACGTGCTTCCATGCTCAAAAACGACGGTAGTGTGAGCCGTCCTTTTAAGATTTTATCGATCGTCTTCTTCCTAAAATATGAAGTATAATTTCCAAAAAGCATGCGAACATGGTAAAATTTTCTCATATATTCACATAGCGCTGTTTCATACTGAAAACTTGACAATGCAATCTTAAGTTTAAATGGATAAAGGAATTGAAACGATAAAACCTGTTATCAGCTGTAAAAGGTGGACCACCAGTAAGCATATCATATGTCAATGCACCCAAACTCCACCAGTCCACTGCTTTATTGTGCCCAACTCTCATCAGTATCTCTGGTGCCATGTATTCGATAGTACCACAAAATGTGTGCGTTTTCTGGTCCCCTTCGATTGCCTCTTTGCATAAGCCAAAATCAGTCAATTTCACATGTCCTGAAAAACCTTGCTTTTAAGAATAAAATGTTTGATTAGCAAAATCTTACATGATGAAATTAAGCGGGTTCACTTATATTCTTTCTGCAAAAAATATTAGTAAACCGCTTACTTTATATTCGCAATCAAATATTTGCATTAATGGATTAAAAATGCAACTAACCTCGACTATCAAGTAAAATATTTTCTGGCTTCAGATCGCGATAAATGATTCCTTGTCGATGGAGATGCTCTAACGAACAAACTATTTCACTTAAATAAAATGCCGCAGTGTCCTGTAAGGATATAAAATACAAATCCAGTTTTCTTTTTATGGTTTTAGATTGCCAGCTGCCACATGGAAAGGAGTCCTTTTCCGAGATAGTTGCATCAAAATAAGTTCACCGATCCGAACCTATTCCGCTATAATAGTTAATCGCTTTACAACCTCAGCATTTCGCAGTCTGAATTATCCTGCTTTTTGAAGATGAAAAAATAATTAATGATGGAACAACAGAAATAACTAGTTGACCGTATTGTTGAGATATCGCATAACTCTTACTAATTTTTTGGAAAGAGAAATACATTCCTTAACTGAATGAGCTAGCAGAAACTTCCAGAATAATTTCCAGGATTATATTTGAAAAATATATTCAAATACCGATATTCTTCTCATCCCTTCTTTTCACTCATTCATGAACACCATTAAGTTTACAGTTTTGAAGCAAATATCGATGGAAATGATTAAACAGCTATACAAATATTGCCATGACATTTATAATACAGAAACAAAACAAGTTTCCTTATCAGGCAAGCATCACACAGTCAGAAAATCCATCTTAATCATTCGATGTGATAATTCCCGAATAAGCTATATTGTACACTCCCTCAATCCCAAAAATCATCTCATTTCTCTTGGCAAATCTATCTAACACTGTATTTGAAAAATATTGATAAAAGTAGAAAGGATATTACGAGTTTTAATAAATTGCTCCATAAATGATTTTTTGCATACTTCTAATTCACTGTTTAAAAAATTTTTGGAATGTTTGCACTTTAATAAAAAACTTCACCAACAGAAATTTGAAAGTGAAAAAATTAAGTAAATTTAAAGATTGCCTCCATGAAAAGTCCTTCACGCTCCAAATGCATAAATAATTCGCCACCACTTAAATACTCCAAAATCAAATATAATTTGCCGCCTGTTTGAAAAGCGTAAAGAAGGTCACATATAAATGGACTCTGAAAATTAAACAACTGTTAATTTAATAAGTCACCAAATGACTATCATAAAACTTAGTAGCTTTGATATGGATAATCCAGAGAATTTTATACTGGTCAATTTCAGCTTATTTTTCTTTGAAAGCTTCCCTGAAAAAAAAAATCTGAATTCCAAGGCGTTAAAGAACAAAATTTAAATTCCGAAAATTGCCAATTCATTCATTCTACATTGCTTTCATCCCGCCAAGCAAGAGTGACATTTAAGCTAACCTTTACTGCTTCCAAAATATTCCTTTCTGCTTTTGTATGAGCCGTATCCTTCTGATTTCTGATAATTGTCGCCTTTTTCAACACTTTCATCGCAAAAATCCTCCCTTCATCTTTTCCATTAATCTTCCTAACTTGAAATACCTGGAATAATGCTACCACTCTATATTTGCGTCCACGCATAACTGTTAGTTAATATTCTCAAAACCACAGCTCAATAAAGAAATACAACTCCTATTTTTAGAACCTCAGCAACGTGAATTACAATATTCTACCTTTCCACAACAACTAAAAACATCTTTCTGCTGGAAAAAATTTCATCCATATAATTAAAATATTAAATCATCCAGTTAAGCTGTCCAGCTGATGATGGTGACGATGCTGCAAATCATCAAATCCATCATACCTTTCCATATCCCCCTTTTCCCAAAACTTTGAGCAACTGGAAATTTTCTGGGCCTAAGCGTGTATTTGGCGGATTAACGGTTGATTCATCCAAATCAATTTTTTCGATATATGGATCCTCCCTGAAACAGACGAAGTGATAACTGAGGACAATTGAAAGCAAAAAAAAAGCAATATCATCTTCTTCCTTCAACTGGATGATACAAACAAATCCTCGCTAGAATCCATAAACAGTCATTTTAAACAAAGAAACTAAACGTAACAATCAGAAATGCTCCCGAACTTGTAGTTCTCAGGATCTTATCAAAATTTAACAAATATTTGTATACTTGTCATGATACCGTTTGATGATGCGAAAAAAAGATATCTTTAACTCATATTGTCATCAAAAAGCGACATATTTCTCGGAACTAAACCTGGAACTTACAAGTAGGATGAGCTCGGTGGAGGTGAACTGATATGCCCCTGAAAATACACATTTGTTAGAGGACCTCGAAGTACTACATCAACTTGATTAAAAGCCAAAGTAAGAGTCGATTTTAAAGAAAGCATATACTGACTGGACCGATTTCTGACAGGAAATCTCGTAAGTACTTGTGATTTGTATGTATGACTTTAAGTCCAAACTAAATGATAAAAACTTTCACTTGTACATTAGTTTGGAAAAACCAACATCTTCAACATCGATATACTCATTATCTTCTTCCATCACTTCATCACCCAACACTGCTGCACTAGTTTGATGGTCATTCAATTCTGTAAAGGATTAGTGTTTTTCTCAATTTTATACATATCAAAAATTGAAATCAAGGCTATTCCAATACTCTGTACACACATCTCTTTTGAATTCTTCATTATGTCCTCTTCGATTAGCAAATACAGAGGTAAATAAGTTTTATTAATATTTTCAGTAAAAGAAAAAGTCTAACTTTTACTTACCAATATCGAAAACACCTGCCATTATGTGTGCTTTTTCAAATTACTGCAATCAATAAACAATGCCAATAGATCATCCAGACACCAGCAAAAATCACAGTAAAAAATTAGATAAACGAACCTGACTAACTGGAAAATACAATTCAAGCTAAATACATTTCTGAAAAAGAACAAGCCAAAATCCCAAAACTTCATAAAGTAAAGGCGATTCAACCTAGACCTGCAGATCGCAGCTATACTGCCGAAAAAACTAGAGAATAGAAAATCAACTAATTTATCATGCAACTGCTAACAATACCAATAAAAACAGTTTATCGTTATTTCCCACAAAATAAACTATGATCAGTTTGATGCAGTGATCTCTACTGCCTTGTTTATTCCTACTGAAATTATTTGTATAAGTCGCTGAAAGATGCTACAAAAGATTAAAAATGCAATTAGGTTTCAATCTGTTAAAGAAAAAATAATACTATGACCTCTATAAAAGCGCAACCAAAACGAATACGATGAAGATTTTACATCACCCACTAATAAAACTAGTACAAATGCAGTGATAAAATTAGTCGTCTATAGGCTTAGACAAAGCATTTATGCGTCAAAGTTACAATGACTAAATAATACATCTTGTGCTTCAAAAATCAAACTGAAAAATTCTAAAGGATTCGATAGACTATTAATTTCGCTCTTGCAATTATGAATATACCTAATTGTTCTCTGCTGCAAAAGATGTGGTCAGTGAAAAGTAACAAAAGATAGCTAGCAAAAGAAAAGTAGTCACTTCGCAACATATCTTGCGAAAGATATCAATAAACGAGCACCAAATGCCTTCCAATTGATAGACTATAATAGCGAATTTCCTTCCACTCATGACCTACTACTAATTTATCGATTATTCTATTCCTATATCGCTGGAAACATATCATATCCTTGTTCCTAGCAATGTTGTTCCATATCAACAGACCTGAATCAGAAATGTACACACAATCAAACTCATACTTCATACCTCAAAGCAGTAAGAAACGAATTCCACCTATGAATTTGAAATAATTCACTGATTCATCGCTTTCGGGAATTCTACTCTTTGATCACTAATGAAGAACTCCTCATTTCCTCTTAGCAAAACAAAACTTAATCCACACATATACCTAAACATCGTTCCAGTATCAAAAAAAGTCAACAGTCAGGACATGTTGGCAATATAAACAATTCCACGCTGGCAATATAAGCAAGTTTAAAGCATTATTCGCGTCTTCAGTTTTACTTGGAATTAACCAGCAATTAAAAAGCACCTGCTTATTCGAAATGCACTTGTATGACGGGTACTAATAATAGTGATAACATCTCATAGAGTTAACAGATACATACAAAGCAGGATCTTTTAACTCTCTCTCTCCTCCCCTCTGCCACCCCATTATGTTTTCATTTCCACAAAGGGAAGATAGTGGAACGCGAGCTTTTAGAACTTTACCTGGATTAAATGAGTAACATCAAAAATTGTCCGCTGTGTCTAATCGTCAGACTTTTGAAAGATCCGCTGCACAAAACATCAAATGGCCGCAACATAAGACGTTTTGCACTCCAAAACTTTACATCGGACAGCACTACTAAAACTTCTTTTTTGGCAGTAAATCCAATATATCTGCCATCTCTCGTCACAATGTTCGTCTCATTACAACAGACAGCAATCTAACGCTTGAAAACTAGAATGGATAAGCCGTTCTTAGTAATTGATAAAAAATTATAAATGAAAATTGAATACTATCAGATGTTGCCGTAAAGGTAAACATGAAATGTCGCAGAAGGACTTAATTTATTATTCATAAAAGCAACGATGAATTTTAAATTATATAAACCAGCCCGAATTGATTCTACACGATTAACTGCATACTCAATTTCAAGAGAGCAGTTTCTTGTTTTATTTGCTTCATAGTTTTGTTCTACTTTCTTTTCCATTTGAATCGCCTACTTTTTCTGCACAACAATTTTTCATTTATGAACAAAATAGACATCCTATTCATCTTACCTTACTTGTCTGAGCCACTCAAAAAACTTTCAAACTTTCTGACTGCACTTATCAGGTATTCATACGGAAGCAATTCGTGAAACTACTGAAAGGTTTGATGATATTGATGGACTGACAAGAGGATGTTACAGACTGATTTATGCTGCCGTCTTAAAGAATTTTTATCAATCGAAAATTTGACACTGAGACCGGTGATATAAACACAGATTGTCAGCATATGGAATAATAAATATTCCACTTTCTTTACAATTCGAAAAATTCTTTTTGCGATTCATTGTTCAAAAAAAAGCAAGCATCAGCCTTCAACTTTAGCAATTCAAACTAGAACGACGATAACCAAACAGCAGTAATTACCCACTCATTATCCTTGCTGAAAATAATGAATTCCTACGGGTTACACGACGTACGCATATAAACTTCGGAAGTCGTGAGAATTATTAAGAAAACCCGAGAACTGCCCATCTTCTCCATGTTGAGATCGATATCACCAACATCACCAGTATACATCAATATCAAAAACACTCTGGGAAATATCGACAGCATCCAGATATCGCACGGAAAACATACCAGAACAAAACCGTTCTGATCCTTTCCACACACAATATCCCCTCTTGCGATGGTTCTTCGACGGGAGCAGTATCGTGTCGTTCTTTATTCCTACATTTTCCATCCCTTGCTCAAATTTATAACTGGAAAGAAACCTTCCTTCATAGAGAACCTCACGGCAATTTGCGCAAGTTACGGCATAAATTTTCCAATGGTATATAAATTGACAAGCATCCAAACAAACACTCTGTTTCACGTTATAAACCAGTTCCCCACCCATTACAGCAATCGGAATTTACCCCAAGTTTTTTGAATCAGTCGGTCAAAGTGAGACGAAAGGAATACTGCTTTAGCATTTACATCTTATCATTTCACGATGTTGCGCTTGATGTTGGTTCATGACTTGAACAATGAAATGTAACGATCGTGCGCAAGAGCGTTACGTGTAAGGACGCCCCTTGAAGGACAATTGAAAAAATTGATCAACTGATATGTAAATAGGACTGAACTATGACAGACAAGGGAGAAAGAAAACAGCACAGAACACTCATTTCCTGCATCTTCCCACGCATTTCTGTCTAAATTCTGTTTTTTTACTCGGTCCCTAATAAATAGCCCACCGAAGTGAAAGATTTTTCTTATCTAAAGAAAATCCATGAGTAAAATATTCTCAAATATATGCTAAATCAGAAAATACAGTATTTGAAGTGGATGCCAACTCTCTTCTAAAAGAAGTGAATGAATGGAAGCATTCAAGAAAGTAATTCTCAGAAACCTTCCAATTGTTTGAAACCAAAAATAATCGACAGCACAGTCTTCGAGAATTAATTCTTACTTTACGCAGACCAAAATTTCAGGCAGTACTTTAAAAAAAGTATAACCACTACCACTAAAATTTATGGCTAGAGTAAGATAAGCCAAAAGCGCCTACATAAAGATATAAACGAATAGGATAAGACTTCGACGTCTGTTTTCTTCATTTCAACTTCATCTGCTGCCTGACAAAAAGCAAGTGGTACAGCCACGGTACAGCCAGAGAGACGTGTATACCCAGAAATAAGTTGAAGAACCTATAGTGCACACTTCCATCCATCTGTCTATCCGTCTATGAATGTCTCAGTACGTGTGCATGTCTGGCATGCCTATGTGTGTGCGAACAGTGTCACAAGACCTCTTTGCAATCAATTGTTCCTCGCATTAGCGGAGTGAGACGGCATTCAATGTCTGTCTATATGTATGTCAGTTAGCCAAAATCTGGGCAGGCGGAAGTTTGGAGGACACTTTGGCATGCAGTCTGCAAGCGGACATATACTCCGCCTTCTTATTTATGTCATCCATTTCGAGCTGCATGCCAGCGTAAGTGAGGGGAGCGTCATATAAAAACGAAAATCGTGTCATCGAGCGAAGGTTAACAAGTGCCAAGTCAGCAGGGATTTTCCTCACCACAAGCACTTATTTGATCTCATTCAAGGTCCTTATGCAATACGAGGAACCCTGGATGTCTTTTAGGAGAATCGCGAGAAGGAGATAGAACGTAGGACGTGTAGCAATCGAACAAATGAGTGCAGGAATAATCGTTGACCAGCAAGAAAGTGATTAATTGACCTGAGAACAGGAGATCGGCTAACCCCTTCACATTTATCTGTGAGATGGGAAACGGTTTGATATTAAGCTTGCGTTATGATTAATGATAGGATTCCCTGCCATCTATCTCACCTTACGATCTCACCATCTCACCTCACGGCCGCAGCTCCACTACTTCTCATCGGCCTAACATATTGAAAAATGAATGAATTTTTGTTGACATTGTCATTGCATTCCCCATACATTGTTCACGTGACAGACTATACTTCTTCCGGCTAGCAATTCCTCACTTGATAATTTCATTATTCAAAAACAACGACGCAAGTTGAAGTTTCAACATTAATCAGAAAACACGGATCACTAGATTCTGAAGCACCGATTGCGTCTGCATCGTTACAGTAGGCTTTCCCTAGTTTACCCTTCTTTTTTCGAGGTGAGAAAGAGACGCATCATACCATCGGTTCGCTTTCGAGACGAGCCATAGAAGTTATAACAAATAAAGCGTACGAACCGTCGCCATTGTCACTAATGGATACCGCCACTCGCTGATCAAACAAAGGACAGACTCGGATAACAAAGAGCAAGCGAATAATGCTTTTGCATTCTTTTTATGTGCTAATATTCGCTGTGTAAATATCATCGTCACTCATATCACCGCTAATCACTCCTAGGCGTGATTCGTTATTACTTGTCAATAAAACCACCATCCACAAAAACAGTTTTTACCCAAGTGACCATCAGTGCCATTTCATCTCATACCAGTGTCCATCGACAGTGTGACATCCCCTCGAACAGATCTTTTGTTTGCAAACAATGCAAAGAGTCCTTTCATATTCATTGTTGCGAATTTGTCTCTTACTGTCTGTGCTAAATAAAACTTCCACTTTTTAGCTTGACATCCTAAATGTCAAGATTGATTTTGTACCAAAGTTTTTGGAATTTTAATCCCTGAGTTATGGATCAATCTAATTCATTATTTTTATTGCTGCTTCTAATTATACGATTACCTCTATCTGCTACTATAATGGCTAGCTTTGTCGCTGCTCAAAGTTCGAACTTTCCGATTGATACATTAAACAAACATCTTAAACTAATAGCACATACACACATACGCGCACATACACATCAGACATACACACATAACATAACTTCATTTGTGCGATCCCACGTCTTCCACCAGTTGTTGTTATATTCGATGGTTATGACAGCCGACGAAGAATGCTATGAAGTGTTACAAGCCTTACGAATACGCCTACGGAAGGTTGCTCATTTATTTAAAAAAAAAAAACCGGTCAAGAAAATTTGATGAATAACTTCAGAACTAAGCATCTCTATATAGGCTCAGCTAAACATACAGGCCGAGTAGCCATCAACCATCGTCCATAGTGCCAATTCTTAAAATTCAAAAGTATTTATTTTTCATTCAAGTCACATGATTTACATAAAATGAAATGTTCACTTTCTTGTTATTAACCCTAAATCTCCGAAAATTCTTCACCGATTGTTTTGTAATTTTGGCACGACGTTGCGTTCGAATGTGCGCCTGTTCTCATATACCTCTTATATAGATGTAATATCTGTAACAGGTAGAATCATGCTTTCTTGAGTATATATAGTATGTACATATATATATATATATATATATATATGGAGAGCTTTTGGAAGCCCGACCAGGGTCATCATGGAAGTTATCTGGCGCTTCCCATGGCCCATACTGCAGGCGTGCGAAAACATCGAAATCTCTTTCTGACATTCCCCATTGTTAGCTTACATCCTTATCATCACCTTAATTTTGCTTGCAGGGTTGCATCGTCTTGTTCAATTAATATCCTATATATTTTATTTTAACGCAATTTGGTTTTGGTAATCCATTAAGTGTTGTGTTTTCTTTTTTTTGCCAACACCGGCCATGCGTTGCTGTGGCAATGCGTGGTCGGATAGAGCTATTTTAAATAAGAGAAATTGTTAAACAGTCTATCGATGAGGTCAAAGCAGTCAAGAATGACGTGAACCGAATATTCGCCGAAGACTGGTGGCCATTGTCATTTCTTCTTGCGTATCATTATGACGTGGATGTGACATACGCGGTGATTGTTGAGTGTCTCAAGTGGCGGCGCTCCTTCTGTGTTGATAGTAAAATTGTTTGTACATATTTCAAAAAATCGAAAACAAATTCACTACTTCACAAACTCATGTCTTATAAGCTTATTATTTTCTACTTACCGTCAAACATCTCAATGTGACTTCTGGTCAACATTTACCATTTGCAGATATCAGTTTGTTGGAACTTAAACCACTGTTAGATAGGGGTTTGGCGTATATACACGGTAAAGATTGCAATGGTTCATCAATACGTAAGTTGACTTTAGTTATGAGATGTAAGATCAAGTCCCAGGTCTATGCTTAATTATCTATCACAGATGGTGAGTATTGATAACTATGATAATGATAACAGTGATAGCAGTAATACGAGAAATGTAATGATATTCTCATTCTATTTGAACGCAAATAAAAATGAAGCAAATAGAATATACTCCATGACATTAGAAATCTTTTTTAAAGTTTGGATAAATATGCGGCAACATGTTATCGGACAACAAAACAGTGATAAATTAATAATTTATTGGCTTGAACGACATACAATGGAACTGCAAGCAGCACCGATCACATTGCTATTTGACATGTCATCGTGTTGTTTGCAAAACATGGTAAGAAATTGTCATTAATATCATACGAATATTTAGACAGTATGTTTCGGCAATGATCATTTAAGTAAATAAATCGTTAGAAACATATGTGTCATTTAGTCATATGACTGTTCAAAAACTAGTAGTCTTAATCAAATTGGTTATTTATGAATGGAATTATTACATGTTGGAAAAATTACAAACACTAGAAATTAGTGAGGAAAAGGGAAACACATGCTTAAGAATTCAGAAACTTCGTAAAAAACGGAAGTATGTATCTTAGTATTATTTCTTGTATTACCTATACTTTGTGTTATTACCTATACTTTGTGTCTGTAAATAGTATGGAGGGAAATTATAGGATTTGGATTTGATTAAATTCATTGTTCGTTCATGCAAATATTACTACCCAAGTTGCCTAACGTCACTGCTAATTTTCGAAAATCCGGGATTGTTGAAAGCATCCTGGATACTGTTACGCACCTGGATGTCACCTGAAATGCAACGTCTCCTTCAATATGTCAGACGTTCTTCACTTTCAGCACATGTACCACTGCCATACATTCCAAAACGTTATGGTGGCCAGGTATGGTTTTCAATGATAATACAGTTTGAAACTAATACCTTAGCAGGAACCCGAAATAACAGTTTAGTTATTTGCAGATCCAAAAAAATGAAAAAAATTTAGATGATTTAGGTTATGGCTTTCTGAATTGTCTTCCTTTTGTTTATTTGGAAATTCAGCCTTGTATGGATTCAGAACTTGTGGCGCTTCCGCATCATTTAGAAATGTTGGAAGTAAATTGGGCAAATTGTAAAAAAATTTAGAGTTTTTAGGTTTTTAAATCTTGGAAGTAATTTATTTTCAAACGACTTCATATGATTATTCAAAATCACTTCAAAATCCAAAAGTTGTCTAAAAAAGGAGAATAATCTATAGCCCTGGATTCATTAGCGATCTCAATTCTTCTATGAGGAGAGTAATCAAGCGTAAAGTGCTGAATTTTCATGCAATATAGTGTAGACTTAAGTCTTCTACCCACAAGAATGAAATAGTAACCAGTATCTCAGTCAAAAAGGTTGAATAAATCGTGAGTTATTAAATTATGACAGTTCAGAAGATCTTGAAAACGAAGTTTGCTGTTTCGTTTTTCCGATAGTTGAAGAAAGATTGTTTCTGTATCGCATATACAAATATATGTTTACGAAAGTTTGATAGCTCAATTTATTTTAATAATTAGTCTTTTGAAATTTATATTTTTGAATTTCTTACAATTTCTTATCAATAGAGCAACAATAGTGCAACAGCCTCTACCACTTCCTAAATCCTATTACCAGTTTTACAGTTTAATTATTCAGTGACTATTACTCTGGCTACACCATTTTCTCAGAATTAAGTGGAATTCTTCTGGGATAACTGATTACTCGTCATTTGTTACTTTGCATTTAATTTTAATGTAAGAAGTAATTGATGGCTTTTTAAACTTGTGAGATTGATAAAATTTTTAGTTTTACCTTACATTTTGCTCTTGATAAGAACTTAATGAAATTATTTACGGTAGAAGAAGTTATGGTTCCAGCAACCCTTGAAATATCAATTTATGAAGTCCCTAATCTGGGAGTGGATTTTCTTGAGGTAATTTAACTTCATTTGTTTTCTTTCCACACAGTTCTTACTTTAAAATTCCTATAATCTTAGTGGTATCTGAAATCAAGGAATTAGCTACTTGTAAAAATAAACTGTTAATAATGAATGGAGTACGTCAATTCGGATGCAGCAAAGACATTTCGTTAAGTTGGAATTTCTGCGCTGTCTGGAATCACATCTTCAGTTGAAATTGAAATTCGTCAAATTGAAATTCTGCATTGTCTGGATCACTTCTTTAGCAGCTTTCTAAATTTTTTCAATATTTTTTAAATTTTCGATTAAAGAAATCTTTGAATTTGTGGAGATCCTAGCTTAGCAGTGTGTAACAGAGACATTAGTGGCACAGGAAGTATATTGTGTTTATAGCAGACACTGCTGCTCCTAAAAAGCGCTTCCTATCTTCTCTCCTTGGATTATTTATTTCACTATATACTTTTAGAAGCATTTCGAAAGACTACTTTTTGTTTACATTTCTGTCAGAAATTTTCGCGTGACGCGGTATTTTGTTACGAATCATTTTAAATCTTTCACTCTGTTTCCTCCTTTCAGCTTTTCAAGTAGGCTTGAAATGAGCTCTAAATGCGATGCATATATGTAGGTATGGAGTGAGTACATTGACATTTCTCCCGCTAACTCCTAAATCCGAATTGACCATCTTATTTCTCTAAGAACGGTGAACGGTAGTTGTGGTCAAAGCAAGAGTTGTCAGACCATCGTAAACCAAAATTGCTAAAGTTGAACCAATGATCAAGCGGATTTTTTTTTGGCCCGGACATATCAATATTCTGATGATTGTTTGCACATCGATTTCTGATGACTGTTTGCACATCGATATCGTGACGGCTGCATGCAAATCGATGTCATTCCCTGGTCTTGCACTTTTGCCGCTGCTGATGAAGGAAACTGCGTTGGCTGATATAACAGTTTTGATGGCACCTATTAATTATGCATAATCATTGAAGTAATTGATGCATCATTATATATTTGCATCTGCTAATGAAAAAGGACTTACTTCCTACAATGATTTGAAGCTATCAGTGCACTGAAATTCAGGTTATGGATGAGTCGAATTTAAATTCACATGGGTTTGACTTGCGGAATAGTCTTTAATTTAATTGGATAGATTTAAATGAATAACGCAGTAAAACATCTCCTATCACTCAGTGCACATGAATAATTTATCAGTTTTTTCAGCACTGGATATTTCAGGATAGTTTTATATTCACAATGGATGAACTTGCTAGATGCATACCACAACAGTCGCCTTCGAATGAACCTATAAATGACGATGAACAACATACACTTCAAAACGATATTACAGACAGTGGTGATGTATCCTCCAACAGTACAACATATTTCAATAAGTTGGGCTTTAAAAGGGTATATTTTGTTAATTTGATTGCATGGACTTGAACTTAATTATCCTCATAATTTTCCGGTCGGAAGAATGAAAGCGCAGATTCTGTTGGACGAATTAGCATTTCACAAGCCTTTTTTATTATGTTTTCACTTTGTGTTAGCAGAACAGCAAGCCTTTCACAGCCATGATCTTTGAAATTACGCAATTGTAGCGAAAGAACATTTTGCAGTCCGTCACATTTGAGGAAGAAGACACAAATCGAGGCACTTCGTTAACTTCTGCATCACAGCTTGTACCTTCCATCACTAAGCGAAATGGTTTACCTCAAGCTTTACGACATTTGGCTGAGACACGCTTACACACTCCAGCGAAAGATTATGCTAAGGTCAAATTTCTTTCCATCTGGTTAGTTTTTTTCATATATTTCTCATTAGAACACACACGCATCTTCGCATTAAAAAAAGCTTACCAATATGTATAATCTTAATCCAAATACATGTATGCACACTTACACATTAAAGTGAACTTGATTGCCACAATGATAGATGCATCTTTAAGCATATGCAGAAGTACTGATTATCTCTGTTACAACACCTTTGTCTCTTCATGCACATGTTTTCATCAAATCTAAACTGACTTCAAAATGCAACAAATTTTTTTTCAAATACCAATGAAATTTAGCCCACGTGAAGAGTTGACACTGAATTACGTAAATGGTGAAAACGATATGGCGGATATCGTGGTTTTGAAGAATGAAAGTGTTAGAAATGTTGCATATAAAATCAAGATCACCTCGCCAGAGAAGTTCCGCGTACGTCCAAGCACTGGGACTATTGCTCCCGGTGCTACTGAATTCATCCGAGTTTATTTACAAAATGGTATAGAATTTTCTCCAATTATTAATAGTTTGAAATTTTTTGTCACAAATTTGGGTTATAAACCATCATTATAATGGCTAGGCTTTGCGAACGAAGATGGAAAGAGTTATACTTACATTTGGTGCAAACGCTACAAATGTGGATGTATCCTTCGGGCCTGCGCAGTGGATTTTTTAGGTGAGGCATAGGGTGCACGGAACTGGTTTCACCCTTCTAAAGTTCATCTGCCAGAATCTAGTGAGCTAGGACGGTGACAGCGATGTCCTCAGGACGTATCTTAACTAGATGAATGGCTTTACAAAGCTAAGAGAGCTCCATCCGTCCGGTTTTGGAGTTAGAGTTGTCCTTCTCTTAGGATGGTTGTCTGAAGTTTAGCGAGTCTTCCTGCATCTAGTATCATCATATATTGATGTCTTCTTACACGTTCTTCCTCTCGACTAGAAAAGAAAAAAGGAATTTTGAAATATCAATCAATCAGCATAACTACATTAGCTCGATCAACGCGAATCAGTTGCAGAATTCCGAAATTCGGTGCCACGTGAGAAATTACTCTTAATGGCAGTCGAAACTAGCGGAGAAAGTGAGGTTTTTGGAAATGTCTGGAAACACTCGAGTGACGAAGCAAAAATAGAGCACAAACTGAGGTGTCGATTATCTACTGAAAGCGGTATGACAATGTCCTCTGCAGAATTAATGGATTCCACTGTAAATGGAAACGAAAATAATCTTCCTACCAGCACAGTAAGTAGGATTTAATTGGTACCTCAACAATACAAAGGTGGATCTCTAGGGAAGGAAGAGGATTTTTTTCTATCATATTTTACCAGCCACTTTTTTACCACACTCTACTACATTTTTTTTAAATATCACATCTTTTTGTGATTTCTATCTCATCACATTTCTTTCTGTCAAACTTTTTTTGATAGAAGGAGTCACATTTTATCACACTTCTTTTTACCATATTTTTCCGTATCACATTTTTTAAAATTGGGACTAATAATGCTCACGAGAAAAAAGGGTCATTTGAAGGGTCACAAGGACAGGAAGCTGAAAAAGCTGTTACCCAGTTTCAGGACTGCTGCCACCTAAACCTCGGGCAGAAATTGTGTTTCTCAGTCAGCTCTGAGATCTATCACGTTACCTATTAGTTGGGATCTGAAACAAAAAGCGGTTCATTGGTTCAGACATTTGCAGTGATGTTCTCATCGGCTTCTCAAACAATTATAAATTTCTAATCATTACCGCCACTCAGGCAGCACTGAGATTCCGAATATCAATTGTTGACACACGGACATATAGTTGAACCACTCCACCACCGACACTTCGCGTGTAAAAAATTCAATCCAGTAATGATAATTTGCTTTGCAGTGCTGATAATCTTTTTCAGCAGATGCGACCAGATCAGTAAGATTTCACTTTTCCAGGCGACATTGATGAAAACGCTGGAGACACGGACGGTTTATCGACAAAATATCATTATGATCTCGATGGCGTTCATAATCGTGATTCAGTTACTATCCCTCATCTGGCAGCATCGGCATTTTACATCAATTCTAAATATTCAGAAAAATTTCTGCTCCAAATTTACATCTCCTTCAAATAATCTTTTTCTTGACTCCGAATTGTGAGTAGGATATTTATATTATTTTGTATGAATTCAAACTTTCATTTAATAGCTAAATAACTGAACGACGTTAAGTGCGGAGCACGAGGGAATGGGATCAGGAAAAGACTTTTCCGGCATTTCTCTGCGTGCTCCTGAGTACTATTGAATTACAGAAAAAAAATATAAGGTTAACATTTTGTGTTAAAAAAAAAAAACATTTTGAAGACAAAACCAAGCGAATATATGACATAAGGGAATAACAAGGATCCGAACCAATCAGAATGGACAGTAGAAATATATTTAAAGTTCTAAACGCAATACACAACTTCTGAAGAGTGCAACTAAATGACTCAAAATTTTCATAAGTTAATCAGGACAGGCTTCATACGATGCTTACCGTATGCAGCAGTATTACATTTGAAAATATACATGCGATATATGATTCCCCTACGTTACAGTAACAAGAAGGTCGCTATAAGTATTGGAATCAACGATTACCGCAGAATTCAAGTGAAACGCACTTTTACGTTCACCTAACACTTCACAAAAAGTTTTTCGTAGGAAACATCAGAATATTCGAGATGGAAAATAGGAAACAATAAATCACTGATGGAAGCCAAGTCCCTGACCGCGACTAAGATGCGTGAAAGAGCGTGCTACTGCATATTGATGATCTAAATGACTGTAAAGTTCACGCTGTCGTCTCCTTTCAGCTTCAACTTGATTGTCGTCCACTTTTGGTACTTCCTCTCGACCTTCTTCATCACTTTTTTTCATACCCATCAAACTATAATCCGAATGAGTCAGAGTTCGAAATTTATTCAGTTTTCAATCCAAACAGCTAAATTTGTTTCATCAGCAGCAAAAAAAATGAGCAGTACTGTTACACATGAATGGTACTTTTCAGCTAACTCTTTTGATTACGATGCAAATCCTCAGGACGAACTTGAAAAACATACCGTTTAAACTTATCCAACTGCTTGATGTCTGACGAACTAGCAGCCAGGATAGAATTCCATGTAGAACTGGTAGACGGTCGCAAACCAATAATTGATGAGACTGCATTACTCTCTAGCTCCTAAATTAGCTTTAAAAAAACTTAGGTCACTTCCAACACCATTTTTTCCCTTTTACGTAACATCAAGTACCACCATATATAACTACCTTCTTTTCCTCCGGTTTACTCCAAATCAATTTTCTCTTTTGGATTTCCTCCGCCCTTTTCACAACAGCCTTTGTTGCCCAAGCTGGTCGGTCACTGCTTCCATCTTCACTATCCTCTGGACTAAAATATATAATAAAATGAATTTTTAAAAACATGTACATTTACCTAAACTGACATCGAAGAGGTAGTGAATGGTTTTCTGTGTCACCTATTCTTTACTAAACTCCCATCTAATGTTTCTCAAAAGAGATGACTGCATTTAAGCGGAAATCTTCAATGTGTCTATACACACAGAAGTCGCCAGATCATAGTGAAATCCGTATATGTATAAAATAAAAATCGAATACTTCTAAAGAAATGTTCAGATTTAATCAATAAAGAAATCTTCAGTACCTGTAATGCCGAGAGGAACGGTTCCTTCGCACAGCTCGATTTCGTTCATATGACTTGTTGCTTCTCTGCTGTTTCGAGTCGCTCTAAAAGGGTCAAGAAGAGAGTAGCGCTCCGCCGCTCACTCTTCATAAAACGAAACATATAATCACGAAATGATAGAAATAAGATAAAATATTCAGGGCGATATCCTAAAATCAGTAAAACTGCTTTACATATCGTCATTAAATCAACATAATTTTACTGGGACTGCAGATTACTTCGTGAAAACAGTGCTGGATTTAAATTTGAAGCATATTGTGACACGGCGACGAAAGATACCTCTTTGTTATGGCCGCGAAGACCAGACCGATCCTCCCTCTCCCTACTTGAATACTGATCTCGACTTCGTTCTCTCGAATGGGTAAGCTCAGAACTGCGTTCCCGAAAAACCGAATCTGTTTCTCGTCCATGATCGTAGTGTCTATCACCTCGATGTCGACTGTCACCGTGTCGCTCCACACTTCTCCCTCTTCTTTTTCGATTATATTTCCGGTCGCAAAGTCGGTCATCCTCATGACATTTCTTTCTTACCAGATCATCTGACCTATCCTTGTCAACATCATCAGATCTTCTGCAAAATATTGAATTCCAGACATATATAAAATCCAGACAGTCATTTGCTTTTCAAGGCAACTTCTCCCAAGATGAAACTAAAAGCAATAAGTGTGCGATTTGGTAACATAGTATGTGAAGTTAATTAAGTGAACATATATTTATGTAAGGACTGTATATGAGTTGTAGTCTTTTATTTCAAAATAGCCACCATTAAAAGATCATTGGAAAGATAAGAATGAAGGCCTCGATGTAGATAGTTCAGTCTGCTGCGTTTTCCCTATTCGTTTCTTATTCCTCAACAGACAGAACTGCATGCAAAGAAAGATTTCCGAACAAATAAAGTGTAAACATCCATGACATATAAACCTCACTTTTTCTGTTTCTGTTGCGATTCGTTATCTTCACCACGTCGTTCAATATGTTTACGAATCTCTTTGGCCGTCAGTGGTCGGAAGCCCTTATCAGCCATATATGACACAACCTGGAACACATTTTTATGCTAAACGTAATCCAAGTACACCTAACAATGGTGCCGTATTCATGAGGGTCATCTCTGCGTGACGCTGACTACATCCTTAAGATTGATTTATCATACAAACACAAACAGTACTTCCAGCAAGTTTTCCAGGTATAACAGTTGTAACAGTTGCAAAAACTATGCAAAAATGAGTTTAAACAGTGCAAGAAAGTCACACTCCATCCACATAATAAAGTGGCCGGAGCTAAACAAGCTAAACACACCCTCCTTCTACCACAAGATAAGCGAACTGAACATGTCCAGCATGTCAGACCCAAGGCTACACCCACTCCGTGTCACGCGCTCCCTCACATAAACTCCTCATAGCATGCAACACCTATGCAATAGTTATTTCCCGAACTTCAAAATGAGGTGAAGGGTGACATTGTGGTGGTGACAGTAACGCAATTTACGATGCGATTAATTAGATGGGTAAGATTAATGAGAGTCGAGTGGAGCAATTTACGGGAGACTAACTAAATGGATGAGGTTGGTGCGAGTCAGTCTCCGTGTGGCTACTATTTTGTTGCATTGTGAAATTAATTTATTAGTTAAGTAGGGTGGTTTACAGTCGATGTTACTCATTGTAATATTAAATAAGTATTGAATTGGACGAAGGAATATCAGCCGTGATTATTGTCTTATTTGGTGAAAAAAGAAGAAGTATGTCACGAGTGATCGGTGGGCTGTTGATGAGATAATATTTTCTTCATTTCGTAGTTAGTGCATGAAGGAACAGCGAAATATTGCAGTCTTGCTATTTCTGTTTAAAGAATGAAAATTTGATTTAAGGGAAGCAACATGTAAGGGATTAAAGGAGAATTGGAGGGTGCAAAGTTGACATTGGCTACTATTACGTTTATTTCTTTTCAGAGCTACTCAAATCAGCTTCGCGTTTCATGGCTGCTAGCTCAAGAGGTTTGCTGAACTTTTGTGACTTCCTCTCTGCTACGTCTGTTGCTAACGGTTATTCAGTATACCTCATTATATCAAGTTTTTCTGCTATTCCTATCCTCTTCTCATCATAATAATCTAACGAATTTCTTGACAAATTATATAATCTTTTTTACCATTCCGCACTTTAAAAATTCCTTTGTAACCTCTAGGAAAAAGTGCAATGGATACGCTGTGCAAGCGGAATCCACAACAGGTAACTCCAGAAGAATGGAGGAAAGTTCTAAGTCCTTTGGAATATAGTGTTGCTCGAGAGGGTGGTACCGAAAAACCGTTCTCAGGAAAATTTGACAAACACTTCGAGCCCGGGTTGTATGTCTGTCGCTGCTGTGGAGCACAACTTTTCAAGTATATTTTTTATTGTAAAAGTTTTGTCGATCAAACGAAATCTGTTCCTCTAAAAATATTAGTCGTAAATTTAAATTTCAGATCAGACGCTAAGTTCGAATCGCACTGCGGCTGGCCAGCTTTTTCAAAATCCGTGGACAACGATTTGAACATAGTGAGGTTAAAGGATACTTCAATGGGAATGGAGCGTGTTGAGGTGCGGTGTAAACAGGTAAATATATCATTTTATAGGCACTTTATAAGGCAATAAGACTCGGACCTTAATATGAGGCTGTGACGTTTTTCCTATTAAACAAAAAGAAGATAGTTCATTGTTTGCCACAAATTTCGGATCCATCTTGGAACTCAAACTTAAAAGAACTTTGAACTTACATCTTTTCAGTGTAATGCTCATTTGGGCCATGTTTTCGATGATGGACCGAAGGAAACTGGTGAACATTACTGCATAAATAGTTGTTGCATTGATTTTAAGAAGTAATTTTGTTGAGGTGTCACTCAGGGAGTTACCTAACTAAATAGTGATAAAAAATGTATAACCCTGCTGAAAAGACAATGAGCAAGAAAATCTTGTCATTATAGGTTTCACTTTAGAAATATGATTGAAATATTTTATTCCTGTAAAATGATTGAAATATTTTATTCCTGTAAAATGTTTTATTATTAAGAGTGGTCTTCGTATTGTGATAAGCGAACGATGTAGCCGATAGGTACTATAAAATTATTGATAATTTAACTCACTTCAACAAGTCATTAAATAATGATAAATAGAAATGAAATTTGTTGATCGATTCGTCAGTATCTGAAATATGGTTACTATTCATTTTTTTCTTTTTAAAGAAGATATAAAAAATTAAAAGCATTTTGGCATATTGTTTATCCCTACAAATCTTTTTTTTTTGATCTTAAGTCGAATAAGAACAAATGAGCGATTCGTACAAACTTTCATTTTGCTATACCCAAAAATAATGGGATTGAAATGAGTGGAAATCCGGCTCCCTTAAAGTTCTGAATCCTATAATGCATGAATCGCGATAGTTGAGTCAGTATCTGCTTAGCTGCCACATATTTCGGACCACTAGTCCTGACACCAGTCGCAACATCTCAAAAAGGATATTAAAACTTTATTTGAATATTCATCTTGTAAATCTCAAAAATGAAGAACTTTGCGACGATAATTTTTGGATTTTGTGATCGTGTTCCTGTGCGTTATGAGCTCTCCCTTGCAACTGCACACGAATTCTTCGGGTACAGCTGGGGAAAGCTACGTTCGTCTTTGAACATATATCCCGACAATGAATGAGAATTCTGGATGGATACCGAATAATAGACGGATTATCTCTTTGCATCAATCTTAAATCTATTGTAATTTCCTGTTATTATTTCTTCTCAAGTTTACACTACGGATGGGTAATTTATATTTTCTTCATAATGCTTGAATTTTTTGAAAACTGGTGCACTTTCTGATGCAATTTTAGCACATCAATCTTTTATAATTCATCTTTCACAATTCGCTGAGAATAACATTATCGGAAATTTATCTCTTAACTCTTATTTTATTATCCTTGGAGATTGTAATTAAGAGTCTCATAAAACTGCATTCATGCAATAAGAGTCTAGTCGTTTCTATAAGTAATCGAGGAAAATGGATCCTAATATCTGTTTATTGTCTTATCACCTTTTCTCGTTCTCACAATGTTTTAAGCAAAAAACCGAGTTTTTTTAGATGGGATTATATTTTTCTTTTCATATTTCAAAATATAAGGCAATGTAAGATTTTTTAAAATTGTTTTCTGGAAATGCCAAACAAGGCACAATTCTACTGCTTTCAGAATAACTGTCACTGGTTTCAATGACTGAAAGGACGAAACATTTTGGCAGTACCTTTTCGGTTTCAAAATTCCTTCATTTTGCTCTTTTTATCATTAACATAAGGGTTTGTATTTTTAAAAGAGTGAGGAAGTGAAGGGGAAATAATAGAAGGAGATAGAGCTTAAATACTGGAATCCGAACTGAATTGAAGGAAGTTGACACAATTTATATAGATTATAAAAAATATGCAGACATACACTTGTATTTAGATTAATCCAACTTCAGCAATACGATGGTTTCAACCTTGTTTTTGATGATTCAGTGCTTTCTGCATTTCAAGAGTTTTTTGTTACGGTGGAACTGATCAAAGAATTATAACGAATGCTGATATGGAATCGATAAAGCTAAGCAGATTGCAAATTGTCGGATTTGCAAATCGTGGCGAATTAAGACGTATGGCCTATTCTAATCTCAGATGAAATGATGACAGTTGGTTGAAAAGTTTTCTTTCTCTATTCTAATTTCACGATGTTGCTGTCAATCCGAAATTTCATCAACGGATATGTGCACAGTTTGTTCAGACTAATGAAAATGACACTTTCAAGCAGCTGCATAATACTTAATTTGTGTTTAACTAAATTATATTTCATTTTGCATCGATTTTAATGAACGAACCGATGCATACAAAATCTCGCTTATTTGAGATTCTGTTTTGGTGTCATGGCGCTAATCTATCTGTATGTATAATTTATACATATAATTTATTTATCTATATGTATAATTTATTTATGGCTGAGAAGGTATTTCTCAATATCCAAAAGCGAGGCAGTAACATACAAGCCCGTCGATACTAATGTGGAAACAGATGAAGCGGTTAATTATCCAACAGAATTTTCTAATTAACTCGATCTGCTAGAGATGCCACCGCACATATTGCAGTTGAAAATTGGTATGCCAATTATCATGCTGTGAAATATCAACCAACCAAAACTTTGCAACGGCATGCTGCTTGCAGTAAAAAAATTAATGAGCAATGTCGTAGAAGCAAAAATCTTGACAGGACCTTTCAAAAGTGAAGATGTCCTCATTTCTCGGATTCCTATGATTCCAACGGATATGCCATTTCAATTTAAGCGATTGCAATTCCCAATTCGATTGAGATTTGCAATCACCATCAACAAAGCTTAGGGCCAATCTTTAGAATCTGCGGTTTAGATCTAGACACGGATTGCTTCTCACATGGAGAATTATACGTTACGTGTTATGGAGGAGTCGGCAAACCGGACAATCTCTATATCTGCACAGACAATGGAACAATAAAAAATATTGTATACGTACAAGCATTGTGAAATTAAATATATTAGAAACATGCGCTTTCTCTTTTCTTTCTTCTCCATTTAACCAAACTGAGCTACAACAATGCATGGCTGGACACAGCTAGTTAAACATAAATATGAGAAAAAGTATGATGAATAAAACGATGAATAGTTGGGGGAAAAAAACTAAAATGAAAGTTAAACATTTTTTTACTTTATGTTGATTTAAATCGAGCAACGAGAAGATTTTCAAATGCGAAAATTCAGAAGAATGGGAAAAAGCGCGGAATGAAAAGGCGAAGAAATAAAGCAATGAAGGGAAAACAAATTCTGCCGTTGTTATTTTAAAACTGTATGCCCAAATTTTTTTGTTTTCTGATAACGATTCTTGAATTTTGATTTTTGATCATTATATTTTGATCGGTATATTTGATATATATATATATATATATATATTTTGATCATTTTGATCACTTTATTTTGATCATTTTTGCAACCTAGGCCTTCTTGAAGTTTCCATATTATGTACAAACAGAGTGATGCATGACTTCATAATCCCGAGAAATCTTAGATAAAGTGATTGGGAAAAATGAATTTTGTTGAAAATGAGGTGCTGGTTACAGTTTTTAATCACTGGCTTCTTATCCGTCAGCATTCGCTACTAGCGGGTTAGACCTTATAGAATTCCCTTCATTCTCTTAAAGTAGGAGAATGAAGCTGAGCATTCATTTACGAAACTTTCAGAAGGAAATTATTCACATTGTTTTGTAAATTCAATCAATTCAATTACTTTAATGAACGCATGAGAAGAATCTAAATAGAAGATAATCTTCTCAGTATAAATGACACTCTTACTTTTCTCCGTTTATTTAAATTTATCAACTTAATTTTTGATTAAATATGAACTGCGGAATTTTAAGATCTAATTTCTCTTCTACCATTGATATCCGCAGATTATTCACAGCAAACTATTTTTAATATTCGAAATGGCGTAACATTTTACTTCCTAACTTACGTGACCTGTCTACAATATTAACGTCATCACAATATGAACGTTACAATTTTATTAATGCTAATAAGTTGTTTTAACCATTGTTTCGCTCCTTGGAGGTCAAGTCATTGATAATCTATTATATATTCAGAAACAAAAATAACAAACATGTCACTTTTTTATGTTTTACAAGGACGAATTTTATATATAGCAGATAATGAGGCATCATTCTAATTAGATTAGCTTTTTCACTTTTTTATGTTTTACACAAATATACCATTTTCTTAAAATATAAAAATTATTTCAGAAGTTATAAATTAAACAGTACTTCACTGACTACAGAATAGGGACAATACTTTCAGAAACTATCAATGAATCACTGCTGTTTCTTCTCTTACCTTTCTCTTCCCCTTCCAGTGAATCATTTTCCGCCTTTTTGCTTAATAATGAATTCTTCAAGAAAAAGAAAAGTATCATTTTGTACAGTTACTCTTGAGGCTATATCCTTATGTTGATGTCAAAGTTTACTCGCAGAAAAAATTTTCATTTTATCTCTTATCACATCCTTTCAATGGTTTTTTCCTTTCCAATTTCATTTTTATAATTGAAATAAATATTCAGTTTAACACAAAATGAATTATGAATTCAAAAATGTGTGGAAATTATGATGGCATTTATATTCTGTTATAATGGCAGTTGAGATCGTAAAATTTCTATTTGCAGATATTCAGTCTGATATTATCTCATATCATGATAAGCTCTATGGTTTGTATGTACTCAATAATCCGGATGAAACAGTAATTTAGTAAGGACATCAAATTACTTGCACTTCCATTGACGCTTTATTGCCTTATCATCAAATTGGTCCAATGGAATCAATTCATTATGCCAATCACATCATTCTTGTCAACAGCTTTCTTTTTATTTTTGTTCCTTAGGATATGCCTGCAATTTCTGAGATGAAATGGTTTATTTAGTCAGTGAAAATGTAGTTAGTGGCTCGGAACTTGATTTTTGTGAAAATTAACTCGCACTATAAAACATTTTCAGTAATTTCCAGTTGCAACACTAGAAAAATTCAAGGAAATTGCTAGAAATACTTGCAAAAAATGAATTAGAAATCCATTTGAGAAAAATTTTAAATCTTTCACTGAAATTATGACTTCTTGATTAAATTTGGAGACAGATCAACAACAAGACCAATAATATTTGTTAAAATATTGCCTTAACTTCTAATTTTTTGTACCAACTGCAGAATTTTCTCATCTCTCAAGTCTTCTGTTACTAATAAAAGAAAATCGTTCACTTATTGTCTGTGTGGTCTGCGAATAAACTTGTAAGAAGACGATCTTCCACACTTTTCTCTGTTGAGAAACGAGAAACTTTAAGATAGACAAAAGGATTCTAGTTGCTAATAAAAGATATTTTAATATAATTGTAATGGAAATTCTCTCGCAGTTAAACCAGATTACTTCTTTCTAAATTAGCAGAAATAATTGTGGTAAAATGTCATATTCTTCGGATGCTTCAAAGAAGCAAGTCACGAAAGTGTTCTAGGTCCTGGAGCTCAAATTAGCGTAACCGGTAGATGAACGGTTTGATGATAACCATGTTCAGGTTGCTATAGCGATATAGCAGTGGTCGGTTTGCAAGCTAAGTGAACTTTGAAAATTTTAGCAGCTGGATGTAAAGAAATAACATTGGAATAACATTTATTACAAGTAGCATTTTCTATCAAAATGAGTACGAAACGTGGTTCTGGTCTTGGCGTATTTCAAAGTGACAGGTCACATGTGGCCATCTCACGTAACAAAATGTGCTTCGTAGAGAGAAAATCGCAAGAAAGCTGCTATCCTGAAATAGCAGAAGATGAGTCACCCTGATTGGGTAATTTCAGAAAAACACTTTCCATCTGTCGTCATTGTGTGATTTGCGTAACTGATGACTCTAATAAATTATTGGACTATTCTATCTGTAACTGATATTTTTACATTGTCAAAAAGCACTTGTTTCTTTTTTGACGTTTTATAAATTTCAAAAATGAACTAGAAAGTGCATTTCGTCTAAACTTAATTCAGTTCAGTTCGTATGCCTTATTTCATATTTCAACATGCTATGATGGGAAAGTTTTCGTTTGTATTACGGTGAAATAGAATATTCGACAATAGATTCATCAAAAAAAAATGGATCGCATCCTTCAACACTCGATTACTGTGATCATTTTCCTACTAGTGTTTATAAAGTTTCAAAAAATTAACAGCCGTGAGGTAGATTAATTTCTTCACTAAGACTGAATCATTTCACAACTTTTATTGTCAAAAATTTAAAGCAAAATCTCCCTGTTACTCTTTGGAAATGAGTAAATTTGATCCAATTCGGTGTTATATAAATTCTGACTGATTTATAACTATGATAAATCGTTAATTGATCATTAAGTTATATTGGATGGCTAACTATGAACAGAATAGAGTAATCGTTAATTGATCATTAAGTTATATTAGATGGCTAACTATGAACAGAACAGAGTAAATAATACTTGCTAATGATTATAATCATCTCATGATTTTTATGTTTTCAGGACAAAGTGTCATCCAAACTGCTCTCTTGCGCGGATTTCTTTTGCACTATTTTTGATCGCTTCAGTATCCTTTTTCAGTGACAAATTATTTTTGATGAATCATTCATGAAATTTAGAACACCGATTACTCATTTCGCAATGATTATCCGGGAAAAAAGCAAATAAAAATCAGATGGCTGCCATAAACAAGTAAGGTAGTGTCAACGGTCCTACGAATCGGGAGCTTCAAACCATAAATCATTACCGCTTGCATCGTTAACTTTCGTGAAACGATACCTTGCTGAATAGCAGTCATAAGGTAACAGAATTTTATGCAATTTCATTTCTACTGTATTACACCAGTAAATCATAACAGTGATATTCTCTTGTTTATTCTAATTCCAAGTTCAAGTTACTTTAGGTTTATTTGGCAAAAACAGTGGTTTCGAAGTTATAAACACTCATCTTTGATGCTTGAAATAAACAAATAAACAATCAATACTGGTTCAATTAGACAAAAAAAAGAAAAAAAAAGGAAATGACTAATGCGATGACACGGATGGAACGTTTGATTAATCTCGCCAAATTTTCTTTTTCCTTAAGCAAATAAATTATTCCAAAAATTTTTGGGGAAGAGAACTGGATATAAGATGGCGATAAATGAAACAAGTTAAGAAAAATTTCCTTTAGCGAATAAATCCTCATGCATCAATATATATCACTTTCCCAAAATCTTTTCAAAACCGCTGTCCTTATTAAATAATGAAATTTCTGTATTCGAAAGAAGTTTAATGTTTGCTTCTTAATTCCAAGTTTTAGTTAGCTTAAAACGTATTTCTAGATGTTGATGACACTAAAAAATGACATTCTGCAGACTGACTAGTGATATTTCTACGATCCTTAGCCTTTGTTTATCATGATTTCATGATATGTCGAACAGTATTATTATTGCATCTTCCATGTGCAAAACCACCTCCTGCTGAAGATTATATCTTCCTTTCCTTAGATCGCTTTTATTACTTTTGCTGTTTGCTGCAATCAGAAGTCCCTGATGGTGACAATAATATTAAGCTTTGCTTAAATCCTCGACAAATTCATTCAATCCTCTTTTGCTTTACTTTTGTTTTAAAAAAGCTTCGATCAGAACATGCTCCTTTCAAGCATTGTAGTGGATGAATTGAAAATTAAAACACAGTGTTTCATGCAAAGCGACTTCTGATTTGACAAGGTTTCACTTATCATCCACATTTTCCCCACTGAATCCATTATAGTTCTGGAATTAAACATAGGTTTTAAGGTCACCAGGATTACATGTAATTCTGACTAGTTTACGCATGGTATTCTACGATCTTTTTTCCNGACTTCTAGGATTTTCTGCAGAACGAACTTTGAACATTCAATC